TTTGGAACAAATCCATTTCAGGACATTTGGAGTCGATCTAGGGGTGTCCGCCCGTCCGTCTCGGTGGCTGGCTGGCTGGTGCGCACGATAACTCTCGCAGCCAGTATTCGATTAGATCCAAATTTGGTATATCGTAATATTATTGTCAAACTTAGATCGAGTTGGGAAATGGGCAATACAGGTCCAATGCTTTAGGACCCCACCCAGTACCTCCCCCACAAACGGTCAACATTTTGAATAATTATAACTTTAATAAAATGTGAAATAAAAGTCCGATTGTCTTCAAATTATACACATCTCAATATTTTTATTAACCCAAATCGGGTGTGAAGATGGAATATATCGGCTCACTATTTCTGGTACCTCCCCTACAAAGAGTCAAAATTTTGAATATTTATAAAGCTCATAAAACGCGAAATCAACATCCGATTTTTTTTAGGCTTGGTACATTTCAATATTTCCATAAACACAAGATCTGTTATAAAGATGGTAGAGCTCGGACCATTTCATCGGTCCGCAATATATGTTACCTCACACATATTTGCACATTTTCCAAAAAAAAATTAACATTATCTCATATAAAGTATAGGAAGTAGTCGATATAGTCCAAATTTGGCACATTGTAATATTTATATCAGTTTTAGGTCAGATACGAATTGGTCCATATTGGACAACTGCTTCAGAACCTCCCCTATAAAGAGCCAACAGTTTCAATAATCATTACTCAAGGCTGGGGGTATACAGCTGTCGTCAAAACGGACACTTACTTTTTAACTTCTTCTGTACAAGACCAGATCCCATCTTTCCTTCTCCCTATCCCATTTCCCCTCCCCACAATTCCCCCTCTTTCCCATATCTATCCTTCCCCACTCCCACCATCTTCCCCTCTTACACAGCCACATAAAAACTCTCAAATCAGAAAACAAAATAATTTATTCTACTCATTTTCACTCTTAGAGCAAACTCTCGCTCTATTTTGAGCGATTTTGCTCCCACTCTCTTTTCAAACGGGAGTGGCTGAAAAGTGCTTCCACGCAAAACAAAAGAGTAAAGAGTAGACTGCGTAAAACTCTCTCTCTCTCTCTCTCTCTCTCTCTTTGAACAATCGTGCTCACGAGCAAGCTTCGCTCTCGAGTGAAAATGATCAAATTTGTGCTCTGCTCAAAATTTTGAGAGATTTGCACATTTTCAGATAGTGTCAGAAGGCGCGAGCATTTTTAGACGATCAAAACTCATTTTCTTTAGACGAAATGTGGGTAGGTAAAATATTCGTATAAATATAGTTGGATAAGAGAGAGAGGGAGTTTATTTGCATTATTTTACATTTTTTAACCAACAGGTGTCGTTTTCTGTTCTCCATTCTGGTGTGGATTAAAAAGCCTTTACTTGAGTAACTTGAAAATTTCTACCGATTAATATTAACAGCTGTCAGACCTTATATTTCCTCCACTTTAAATATTAATTACCTATATGGCAATTCTCAAATCTATGTCACTCCAAGTCCAATCAAAAAGATAAGTAGCTCTGCTGATTGAAAAAAACCCTTAGCACAATGTCCTGTTATCTATCTCAAGTGGATGACACACATGGCCGATGGTCATTACTTTCGAATATATACATCAGAAGAATGGAATTGAATTTTAAAAATAGATTGGTATAGAAGAACGAATTCGACGAGAAGTTTTGAAAATATGAGCAGAATAGGAATTTTGGAAGGGATTTTTTTTTTTTTGACGAGAGGCTACAGTGAAGCTTTGGACTATTGTTGTGGAATTTATGTGAATGATTTTCAGTGAAGTTTTATAGAAATAAGTTGATTAAAATAGAAAAAAAAAAACAGGATATGGTGAGGGCAGAAAATGCCAAGCAGACTATTTTCAAAGAGACGATGTGAAGTTCAGCACTTGGGAGAAAATGGCTAGAGGCGGACGTAGGGTAGGTAGGGAAGAGCACAAAAGATATAGGCGAATTTGGGTTGAAAATTTTTCAATTGAATGTGTGGACATGGCCCAAAAGGTGCCCAGACCTTATCTCCCCATTGCAATTATGGGAATTATTCCGATTTTTTTGGTCATAATTCCCCTGCGGGATCATGACTGTTTGTTAAACAATTAAAGCACATAATCTCCAGAAAGAAAACAAGGCTTAAATAGAGTGTAAAAAAGGTTATACAATTTAGAAAAAACTGGGTTGAATTTACCACGGAGGAGAAAATCTCAGGACCTACTTAAAAAGGCTATAAAGGTTAGATATATATTTTGTGGAGAAAATCAGGATTTCATGATTTTTATCACTAATATCTTCGGAACTAAATGAGATATCACATTTGGCACCATGTGTTGAAAGAGTGTAGGCTATAATGTAGTTTGTAGATCATAATACCCCATAACGGGTCCATTTTCTTCTTTTTAGGGTTTTTCAAAAAAGTCCCCGTAAAAATACCTATTTTCTTATATTACTCTGGGAGCGGTCCAAACACCCTCATATGACTTTTTGGTAAGGTATTTCCATAAGCTTTCAAACGATACCCATATTGTACGGTTTAGTACAACCGGATAAAACCCGAGTTTTGTATCCGAATAAACGTGTAACAAGGTATTTTCCCCTAAGAATTACTTTGTCGTAATCAGGTTAAAAATACCTACCACATAACCTTTCAAGTGATACCCATATTGTACAGTTTTTTAGAACCGGATAAAATCCGGATTTTGTATCCGAATAACCGGGTAACAGAGTTTTTCTGCCAAGAACTTCAGCATGTTAGATCACTTTTTGGGTAGGTATTTCCACAAGCTTTCAAATGATACCCATATTGTACAGTTTTGTAGAACCGGATAAAACCCGAGTTTTGTATCCGAATAAACGGGTAACAAGGTATTTTCCCCTAAGAATTACTTTGTCGTAATCAGGTTTAAAATACCTACCACATAACCTTTCAAGTGATACCCATATTGTACAGTTTTGTAGAACCGATTAAAATCCGGATTTTGTATCCGAATAACCGGGTAACAGAATTTTTCTCCCAAGAAAAAAAATTACTTTTTGTCGTAATCAGATTCGAAAAAACCTACCCCATAATGGGATTTATGTCCGCAATCGTTTTGAACATAATTCCCATTTTTATGGGGATTATGTCCGGCACTTTCTGGGGATTATGATCGATTTTCCATAATCGTAATTATGTTTGTGGAGATTATGACACGGCACCGTTGCAAGATTTATGAGTTTGACATCGAGCATTCTAAAAACAGTTTTATACCCTCAGCCATATACTCTCAATGTCATTTCATCATTTGGCCAAAACCTGCATCATCGAAATAACGATTTTCGACCCCAGGTCCCTTTGACAAAATCCGTTTCAGAACATTTGTAGTCGATCTAGTGATGTACTTCCGTCCGTCTGTCTTGGTGGCTGTCTGCTACGCACAATATCTCTCAAAGGGAGCATTCGATTTGGTCCATACTTGGTACATCGTAATATTATTATCAAACTTAGTTCGGAGATGGGCAATATCGTCCCAATCCTTCTTGTACCTGCCCCACAAAATGTCCAAATTTTCAAAAAAATATGTATTTTTTTGCACAGAATGAGAAAGGATCATCCAATTTTCTGCAAACTTTGCAAATTCTAATATTTGCACCAAAGTTAGGTCAGGTGTGAAAATGGACAATATCGGACCACTCCTTCTGGTACCTCCCCTACAAAGGGTCAACATTTTGAATAATTGTAACTCTTATAAAATGTGATGTAAGAGTCCGATTGTCTTTTTGCACACAGCACCAGATTTTTAATAACCCAAGGTCTGGTGTGAAGATGGAGCGATGGAGATGGAGGGTCAAAATTAATGAATAACCGAAACGATCATAAAACCCGAAATAAGCATCCGATTCACTTCATATTTCACACATCCCATTATTTCTACTGATACAAGGTCTGGTGTGAAGATGAAATATATAGGTCCCGTACTTCTGGTACCACTCCCACAAAGGGTCAAAATTCTGAATATCCACGGAGCTCATAAAACGCGAAATTCCAATCTGATTCTACTCAGACTTGGCACAGCTCAATATTTCTATCAGTACAAGATCTGTTAAAAAGATGGTACAGATCGGACCATTACTTCTGGTACCTCCCCCACAAAGGGTCAAAATTAATGAATAACCAAAACGATCATTAAACCGAAATAAGCATCCGATTCACTTCATATTTCACACATCCCATTATTTCTACTAACACAAGGTCTAGTGTGAAGGTGAAATATATAGGTCCCCTCCTTCTGGTACCTCCCCCACAAAGGGTAAAAATTTTGAATAACCATGGAGCTCATAAAACGCGAAATTAATATCCGATTCCATTCAGACTTGGCACATCTCATAATTCCCATCAACACAAGATCTGTTATAAAGATGGGAGAGATCGGACCATTCCTTATCGAACCTGCCCCACATGGGTTTCAAGAATTTGAATAAACAAAATGAAATATCCGGTTCTCTTCATATTTCACACATTCCAATATTTTTACAAGCACATGATCTGCCGTAAAGATGGAATATATCGGTCCACTCTTTCTGGTAACTCCCTCACAAAGGGTCAAAATTTTGAATATCAACGGAGTTCATAAAAAGTGAAATTCAAATCCGATTTCTTTCAGATTTGGCCCATCTCCATATTTCCAGCAACACAAGATCTGTTATAAAGATGGTAGAGATCGGACCATTTATTCTGGTTTCTCCCCCACATAGGGTTCTAGATTTTTTGTGGTCTCACCCATCCTCTGGGACTCACTGTTGCAGTAGTTCGCAAAATTGAAGTTAGTATCTCTCGCACCTGGCCATAGATAAGACAACAATGACAACTCTTCACAGAGCAAAAAAAAAAACAATTTCTTCAGCAGATAAGACCGCACATACCCCAAAAATTCTAAAAAAAAATCTAATCATTGTTTAGACCACCCATAGAGGTTTCAAATTTAATACCTACAAGTCTATATAAAGCCCATACTTCACCCCAAAAGCAAATCAGTTCAAGTTGAAATATGAAACCAATAACTCTTTTGGCCAGCGTTTGTGTCTTTGCTGCCGCCATCAGTGGTGTCTGGTCGGCTCCCCAAGCCCGTATTGTGGGTGGAGATGATGCCGTGCCCGGTCAACTTCCCTATCAGGCCGCTTTAGCTGTTGGAGGTTCCTTCAACTGTGGAGCAGTTATTTTGAGCGAACTCTATGCCTTGACTTCATTGCATTGTGTGTGTTCGGCCGGTAGCGATAAGCCGTAAGTATGCCAAGTGACAATTCTCGAAACTACTTATAATTTCCTCCCTTCCCCCATTTCCCCTCCCCACAGTTGGCCACCACAATTGTTCACTGTCAGAGCCGGCACCACCGACATTTATTCCGGTGGCGTTAGCATCGTTGTCGAAGAGATCACCGTCAATCCCAACTACCATGACCTCTCCACCGGCATTGCCCTGTTGAAGTTGAGAAGTCCTTTCACATTCAACGAATACATTCAACCTATTCCATTGGCCCAATCAAATCCTCCCCTAGAAGCTGAGGTGGAAATTTCCGGTTGGGGCCGCACCAAGGAAGGCCAAACTGACATGTACCGCTATTTGCAACTGAACGAAGCCACCGTCATTGATCCCGCCGAGTGTGCTCGCGATTTGGGTCGTGAGGATCCCGATATTCTCTGCATGAGTCATCCCCGTAAAAATGGTATCTGCCGTGGTGACTTTGGCGGTCCAGCTGTTTACAATGGCCAAGTTGTGGGTATTGCTTCCGCTGTAATTGGTGAATGTGGCAGCTATTTGCCTGATGTCTTCACCAGCGTTGCCGCTCACTATCAATGGATCCAGAACACCATGCAAGCGTAATTTTTTTTTATCAGAAAATAAAGAAAAAAATCCGGAAGACCTTTTAAGAAAATTGAAAAACTTTTAGAATAGAATACAGTTTCCTTTAGAGCGAAGGGGCCCTGAGATGATGGGAGGGAATCTCTATAGAAGAGCCGTAGGCTCAGTAGACAAGTCGAAACGAAATGAGCAAGGGTGAGTCTCTGTAGAAGATCTGAAGGGCGGCGAGTTTCTATAGACGAGCTACAGGCCGAGGAGTCTCTATAGACGAGTTGAAGACCGGTCGAGTCTTTATAGAGGAACTGAAGGGCGGCCGAGTCTCCATAGACATGCTGAAAACCAAGGAGTCTCTATAGACGAGCTATAGGCCGAGGAGTCTCTATAGACGAACCTAAGGCCAAGGACTCTCTACAAACGAACTGAAGACCATTTCTCTATAGACGAGCTGAAGACCGAGGAGTCGCTATAGACGAGCTGAAGGCCGAGGAGTCTCTATAGACGAGCTACAGCCCGATGAGTCTCTATAGACGAGCTAAAGCCCAAGGGGTCTCTATAGACAAGCTAAAGGTCTAGGAGTCTCTATAGACGAGGTGTAGTCTCTATAGACGAGGAGTAGTCTCTTAAGACGAGGAGGAGTCTCTATAGATGAGCTAAAGGCCAAGGGGTCTCTATAGACAAGCTAAAGGTCTATAGTCTCTATAGACGAGGAAGAGTCTCTATAGACGAGGAGGAGTCTCTATAGACGAGGGGGAGTCTCTATAGACGAGGAGGAGTCTCTATAGACGAGGAGGAGTCTCTATAGACCAGGAGGAGTCTCTATAGACGAGGAGGAGTCTCTATAGACGAGGAGGAGTCTCTATAGACGAGGAGGAGTCTCTATAGACGAGGAGGAGTCTCTATAGACGAGGAGGAGTCTCTATAGACGAGGAGGAGTCTCTATAGACGAGGAGGAGTCTCTATAGACGAGGAGGAGTCTCTATAGACGAGGAGGAGTCTCTATAGACGAGGAGGAGTCTCTATAGACGAGGAGGAGTCTCTATAGACGAGGAGGAGTCTCTATAGACGAGGAGGAGTCTCTATAGACGAGGAGGAGTCTCTATAGACGAGGAGGAGTCTCTATAGACGAGGAGGAGTCTCTATAGACGAGGAGGAGTCTCTATAGACGCGCTAATGGCCAAGGAGTCTCTTTAGATGACCAGAAGCAACCTGAAGCGAGTCTCTATAGACGGCCTGAGGTGAGTTTCTATAGACGACCTGAGGTGAGTCTCTATAGACGACCTGAGGTGAGTCTCTATAGACGACCTGAGGTGAGTCTCTATAGACGACCTGAGGTGAGTCTCTATAGACGACCTGAGGTGAGTCTCTATAGACGACCTGAGGTGAGTCTCTATAGACGACCTGAGGTGAGTCTCTATAGACGACCTGAGGTGAGTCTCTATAGACGACCTGAGGTGAGTCTCTATAGACGACCTGAGGTGAGTCTCAATTGACGACCTGAGGCGAGTCTCTATAGATGACCCGAAGCACATCTATATCGCCGACCTAAAGCTCGTCTATAGCGACTCGGCTTTTAGCTCGTCTATAGCGACGACCTCAAGCTTGTCCATAGCGACGACCTGAAGCTCGTCAATAGCGACACCTGAAGTTCATCAATGGCGGCGACCTGAAACTCGTCTAAAGCGACGACCTGAAGCTCATCTATATCGACAACCTGAACCTCGACTCTATACAGTGAGTTTCTATTAAAGACCCGAAAGCGGTCATAACTCGTCTCAGGAGTCTGTTTTAAGTTGGCCTCCATTGATGCTACCCTCAACAATTATTTCTAAATCAAACCAAATACCTAAATTTTTGTTATTTGATTTGAATTTTCAAAACCAGAACATTTATTTAAGGAGTCATATTTTCCAAAATCCATTCCTTGTGATGAGCCACCTTGGCATAACCATCAGGATTGCTGGAACCACAACCGTCCACAACAAAACCGGCAACACCAACCAGCTTACCATTATAGGTGGCTGGACCGCCGGAATCACCATTGCAAGCACCATTATTGGCAGGATGAGCCAAGCAGATAAGGCTGTCATAGCCCATTCCTATGGCCGTGCCACACTCATCTGTTGTCAAAGCCTTAACGGTGTTCCATTGCAGGCGTTGTGGAATCGGACCGCCGGTATACAAACGACCCCAACCGGAAATAATGACTTCAGAGCCTGTTGGTACCTCTTCATCGGCCATTTCGATGGGTTTGATGTAATCGGTGAATGTCAATGGAGTTTCCAGTTCCAGGAGGGCAACATCATTGAGGAAATTACCATAGGTCTTGTTGACAATGATACGCTTCAGTTTGAGCAACAAACCTCCAACCATGCGCTGAATGCTGCCAACACGTACTTGGAAATATTGGGGAGGGAAGCTACAGAGATGGAAATATTAATTTTCTCCAAAATTTCAATTTCGGATAATTCGAACTTACGGTTCAACGCCGTTGCCAACAACAACACAATGGGCAGCGGTCAAAATAAATCTGTCGCTAATAATGGAGCCACCACAGGTGTGAGAGCCATCTTCACGTTGCAGCGAAACCTGATGAGGGAATTGACCCACCTCAGCGTCAGTGCCACCAACAATGCGACTGTCAGGATTGGGCAGAGCACTGACGGCACCAACAGCCAACAAAAGACCCACGACAACAAAGAACCTCAACATATCTCCAGCAATTTTAGAAAAATACTAAAAGTATTCCCATAACTTCTTGTGGTTTTATATGTCCGATACGAAGAAGTGAAATCGATTCGGATCAATGCTGTCTCATAGATTGATATATAGAGACGAACTTTTCCAACAACAAATGACAATCTTATCTGAGGGGATGGGGAAAATTATTTTCAGATTGAGAACTGATTTAAAGTTGATAGCAAAAAAAAAACATAAAAACAGAAGATAATTTATTGTCCGCAGGTAGTATCTGCTTTTGAGTGGCGATTCTGTCGCCAATTTTTTTGTTTCGGGATTTTCTAATCGTTATTGTTATTTCCGAACAGTATTTTGCTAATATTTTATATATGTATGGCTAAGTCAATGGAAGGCTCATGGAAGACCTTCTCGTACTCGGTCTTCAGATCGACTATAGAAACTCGGCCTTCAGCTCGTCTATAGAGATTCGTTCTTCAGGTAGTCTATGGAGACTCGACCATCAGGTCGTCTATAGAGACTCCTCGGCCGGCCTTCAGGTCGTCTATAGAGACTGGTCTATAGAGACTAAGCCTTCAGCTGGTCTATAGAGACTCGGCCTTCAGCTGGTCTATAGAGACTCGGCCTTCAGCTGGTCTATAGAGACTCGGCCTTCAGCTGGTCTATAGAGACTAGGCTTTCAGCTGGTCTATAGAGACTCGGCGGCCTTCAGCTGGTCTATAGAGACTCGGCGGCCTTCAGCTGATCGATAGAGACTCGGCGGCCTTCAGCTGGTCTATAGAGATTCCGGCCTTCAGCTGGTCTATAGAGATTCCGGCCTTCAGCTGGTCTATAGAGACTCGACCTTCAGCTGGCCTATAGAGACTCGGCCTTCAGCTCGTCTATAGAGACTCGGCCTTTAGCTCGTCTATAGGGACTCGGCCTTCAGCTCGTCTATAGAGACTCGGAATTCAGGTCGACTATAGAGACTCGGCCTTTAGGTCGTCTATGGAGACTCTAAAGAGACTCGGCCTTCAGCTGGTCTATAGAGACTCGGCCTTCAGCTCGTCTATAGACACCCGGCCTTCAACTCGTCTTTAGAGACCCGGCCTTCAGCTGGTCTATAGAGACTCGGCCTTCAGCTCGTCTATAGAGACTCGGCCTTCAGCTGGTCTATAGAGACTCGGCCTTCAGCTGGTCTATAGAGACTCGGCCTTCAGCTGGTCTATAGAGACTAGGCTTTCAGCTGGTCTATAGAGACTCGGCGGCCTTCAGCTGGTCTATAGAGACTCGGCGGCCTTCAGCTGATCGATAGAGACTCGGCGGCCTTCAGCTGGTCTATAGAGATTCCGGCCTTCAGCTGGTCTATAGAGACTCGGCCTTCAGCTGGTCTATAGAGACTCGGCGGCCTTCAGCTGGTCTATAGAGACTCGGCGGCCTTCAGCTGATCGATAGAGACTCGGCGGCCTTCAGCTGGTCTATAGAGATTCCGGCCTTCAGCTGGTCTATAGAGACTCGGCCTTCAGCTGGTCTATAGAGACTCGGCCTTCAGCTGGTCTATAGAGACTCGGCCTTCAGCTGGTCTATAGAGACTCGGCCTTCAGCTGGTCTATGAAGAGACTAGGCTTTCAGCTGGTCTATAGAGACTCGGCGGCCTTCAGCTGGTCTATAGAGACTCGGCGGCCTTCAGCTGATCGATAGAGACTCGGCGGCCTTCAGCTGGTCTATAGAGATTCCGGCCTTCAGCTGGTCTATAGAGACTCGGCCTTCAGCTGGTCTATAGAGACTCGGCGGCCTTCAGCTGGTCTATAGAGACTCGGCGGCCTTCAGCTGATCGATAGAGACTCGGCGGCCTTCAGCTGGTCTATAGAGATTCCGGCCTTCAGCTGGTCTATAGAGATTCCGGCCTTCAGCTGGTCTATAGAGACTCGACCTTCAGCTGGCCTATAGAGACTCGGCCTTCAGCTCGTCTATAGAGACTCGGCCTTTAGCTCGTCTATAGGGACTCGGCCTTCAGCTCGTCTATAGAGACTCGGAATTCAGGTCGACTATAGAGACTCGGCCTTTAGGTCGTCTATGGAGACTCTAAAGAGACTCGGCCTTCAGCTGGTCTATAGAGACTCGGCCTTCAGCTCGTCTATAGAGACCCGGCCTTCAACTCGTCTTTAGAGACCCGGCCTTCAGCACGTCTATAGAGACCCGACCTTCAGCTGGTCTATATAGACTCGGCCTTCAGCTCGTCTATAGAGACTCGACCTTCAGCTGGCCTATAGAGACTCGGCCTTCAGCTCGTCTATAGAGACTCGGCCTTTAGCTCGTCTATAGGGACTCGGCCTTCAGCTCGTCTATAGAGACTCGGAATTCAGGTCGACTATAGAGACTCGGCCTTTAGGTCGTCTATGGAGACTCTAAAGAGACTCGGCCTTCAGCTGGTCTATAGAGACTCGGCCTTCAGCTCGTCTATAGACACCCGGCCTTCAACTCGTCTTTAGAGACCCGGCCTTCAGCTGGTCTATAGAGACTCGGCCTTCAGCTCGTCTATAGAGACTCGGCCTTCAGCTGGTCTATAGAGACTCGGCCTTCAGCACGTCTATAAAGACTCGGCCTTCAGCTCGTCTATAGAGACTCGGCCTTCAGCTGGTCTATAGAGACTTCGCCGGCCTTCAGCTGGTCTATAGAGACTTCGCCGGCCTTCAGCTGGTCTATAGAGATTTTGCCAGCCTTCAGCTCGTCTATAGAGACTCGGCCTTCAGCTCGTCTATAGAGACTCGGTCTTCAGCTCGTCTATAGAGACTCGGCCTTCAGCTCGTCTATAGAGACTCGGCCTTCAGCTGGTCTGTAGAGACCCACCTCAGCTCGTCTATAGAGACTCATCCCAGCTCATCTATAGAGACCCACCACAGCTCGTCTATAGAGACTCACCTCAGCTCATCTATAGAGACACACCTCACTTCGTCTATGGAGACTCTTATTAAGGTTTCAGTTAGGTCGTCTGTGAATATTTCTCATTCAAACCAAACCACCCAATAAAATATTGGAACCGAGTTTAATTTCAAAATACAAAAACAAAACATTTATTCGTATGGGGTCATATTTTCCACAATCCAATCCTTGTGGTGGGCAACCTTGGCATAACCATCAGGATTGCTGGAACCACAACCGCCAACCACAAAAACCGGCAACACCAACCAATTTGCCGTTGTAGGTGGCAGGACCGCCCGAGTCACCATTGCAGGCACCATTGTTGGCAGGATGAGCCAAGCAGATAAGACTGTCATAGCCCCAGTTAATGGCTGTGCCACACTCTTCTGTTGTCAAAGCCTTGACGGTGTTCCACTGCAGACGTTGTGGAATTGGACCGCCAGTATACAAACGACCCCAGCCGGAAATTATGACATCAGAACCCGTGGGTACATCTTCATCGGCCATTTCGATGGGTTTGATGTAATCGGTAAATGTCAAGGGTGTTTCCAGTTCCAGGAGGGCAACATCATTGAGGAAATTGCCATAGGTCTTGTTGACAATGATGCGCTTCAGTTTGAGCAACTAACCGCCAACCAATGCGTGAATGCTGCCAACACGTACTTGGAAATATTGGGGAGGGTAACTAAAGAGACGAGGGAAGTAGGGGGGCAGATTAGTTTTTTCCTACGCTTCTTTGGCGTGTAAATCCAACTTACGGTTCAACTCCGTTGCCAACAACAACACAATGGGCAGCGGTCAAAATGTATTTCTCACTGATAATGGAACCACCACAGGTGTGGGAGCCATCTGACGACACCAACAGCCAACAAAAGACCCACGACAACGACGAACCTCAACATGTCTCCAGCTATTTTAGAAAAATACTGATCGACTTCCCATGACCCTCTTAGGTTTTTATATGAACGATATGAGGTAATGAAATCGTGGTTGGATCAATGATGTCTTACAGATTGATATATAGTATCGATTTTCCGAAATAAAAAAATAGAATCTTATCTTGGGCGCCGAAAATAGTTTATACATTGGGAACTGATTTCAAATTGATAATAAAAATCAGGAGATAATTTATTATCTATTGGCATTATCTCACATTGGCTGGTCAATAGAGAAGATCACCTACTATAAAGATAACCTTTTTCTGGCCGTATTGTTTATAGTCAGTCTATAGATACCACCTTCGGGCAGTCTATAGAAACCGCCTTCAGGCCGTCTATAGAAACCGCCTTCAAGTCGTCTATAGAAACCGCTTCAGGTCGTCTATAGAAACCGCTTCAGGCCGTCTATAGAGACTGCCTTCAGGCCATCTATAGAGACCGCCTTCAGGCCATATATAGAGACCGCCTTCAGGCCGTCTATACAGACTACCTTCAGGCGGTCTATAGAGACTGCCTTCAGGCGGTCTATAGAGACTGCCTTCAGGCGGTCTATAGAGACTGCCTTCAGGCGGTCTATAGAGACTGCCTTCAGGCGGTCTATAGAGACTGCCTTCAGGCGGTCTATAGAGACTGCCTTCAGGCGGTCTATAGAGACTGCCTTCAGGCCGTCTTTAGAGACTGCCTTCAGGCCGTCTATAGAGACTGCCTTCAGGTTGTCTATAGAGACGGCCTGAAGGCTGTCTATAGAGACTGCCTTCAGGCTGTCTATAGAGACTGCCTTCAGGCCGTCTATGGAGACCGCCTTCAGGCTGTCTATGGAGACCGCCTTCAGGCTGTCTATGGAGACCGCCTTCAGGCTGTCTATGGAGACCGCCTTCAGGCTGTCTATGGAGACCGCCTTCAGACTGTCTATGGAGACCGCCTTTGGGCTGTCTATGGAGACCGCCTTCAGGCCGTCTATGGAGACCGCTTTCAGCTCGTCTATTGAGACTCCCTGCTCGGCAGCACGTCTATTGAGACTCCCTGCTCGGCAGCTCGCCTATTGCGACTCCCTGCTCGGCAGCTCATCTATGGAGACTCCCTGCTTGGCAGCTCATCTATGGAGACTCCCTGCTCGGCAGCTCATCTATTGAGACACCCTGCTCGGCAGCTCGTCTATTGAGACTCCCTGCTCGGCAGCTCGCCTATTGCGACTCCCTGCTCGGCAGCTCATCTATGGAGACTCCCTGCTTGGCAGCTCATCTATGGAGTCTCCTTGCTCGGCAGCTCATCTATGGAGACTCCCTGCTCGGCAGCTCGTCTATTGAGACTCCCTGCTCGACAGCTCATCTATTGAGACTACCTGCTCGACAGCTCATCTATGGAGACTCCCTGCTTGGCAGCTCATCTATGGAGACTCCCTGCTCGACAGCTCATCTATTGAGACTCCCTGCTCGACAGCTCATCTATTGAGACTCCCTGTCCATTTACTCATTTATGGGCTCTCTTTAACTCGCCTGTAGAGCATTTTTTGGAAACTCCCTCTCTTATAACTATTAAATCATAATTTGCCGTAAAATCATCGAAAACATTTCCGATTAGATACCTTAACTTCGAATCTCCAACAAAAACTGATTATCTTAAGCTGTTTTTAGATTCTTGCTAAATAAAGTCAAATGTTGAAATTTAATAAATTATTGAGGAAATGTACTGAATATAGCTCGCCATAAATTTCAGCTACTATCTTCGCAGCGAAAACAAGGTAGCTTTTCATGAAACATTGCCATAGGTGTTGGCTCGGTTGCGTTATCTGGTTGGCCATAAATGTTGCCTGGAAAGCTCTCTATTCTTTAATAAGGCCTCAGTTGGCAGCCTCTGAGTTGGCCTATGAATTCGTCCTTTCTGTTAGACTAAGTATACCCCCTCCTGTGCTTCGAAATGTCTCCCTTTTGGGAGCCCACATATTAATAGTCTCTTTTTGTCATCAATAAATACTCATTTTAAACTTGATTTCTAGCCCCCATTTTACTCCTGGACAATGGGCCTATTTTTAAGCCTTGAAGCCATTTTAGGACTCCCTCTTCCTACATCAATAAATTTTGCTCCCACTCGAAAACGAGTAAAATAGGCTCACTCATTTTCGAGCAACTTCGAAAAATTTATGAAAATTTGTTTGGTTTTTTCTGCTCCCAGGAGCGCTCGAATCGGAGGGTGTTTTCCTCTTTGTACAAATTTTAGCGAGTTTTTTCGGAGGCTTGTTCCCTAGTGCTGGGTATCTAAGAGAACCATTTTGCAGCCTCTCTTCAGGGCCTCTCTACGAAATATTCATGTTGGAGTGCACTCGCTCGAATTAGAGAGAGATTCAAACTTTGTACAAATTCGAGCGATTTTTTTCGGAGGCTTGCTCCCTAATGTTGGGTCTCTCAGAGAATCCCTGTACAGCTCGTATATACACCTATCTTCTAGGCACATATAACTACTCTATCGAAGCCTCTCCACTAAAAATTTGTTTTGGAGCGCACTCGCTCGAATTCGAGAGATATTCACTGTTTGTACAAATTCGAGCAATTTTTTCTGAGGCCTGCTCCCTAATGTTAGGTCTCTAAGAGAAACCCTGTACAGCTCGGCTATACCCCTCTCTTCTGGGCATATATAACGACTCGTTCCAAGCCTTTTTAATAAAAATTCATTTTGGAGCGCACTCGCTCGAATTCGAGAGAGATCCGCTCTTTGTACAAATTCGAGCGAGTTTCTCGGAGTCCTGCTCCCTAGTGGTCGGCCTCTAAGAGAACTTCTGTATAGTTAGCATATACCCCTCTCTTCTTGGACTATATAAAACTACTCTTTCGGAGTCTCTCTACTACAAAATCATTTTGGAGCGCACTCGCTCGAATTCGAGAGAAATTCACTGTTTGTACAAATTCGAGCTAGTTTTTCAGAGGCCTCTCTAGTGTTGGGTCTCCAAAAGAATTCCTCTACAGCTTGTCTATAGCCCTCTCTTCTGGGCATATATAACGACTCCTCCGAAGCGTCTCTACAAAAAATTCATTTTGGAGCGCACTCGCTCGTATTCGAGAGAGATTTACTCTTTGAACAAATTCGAGCGAGTTTCTCGGAGACCTACTTCCTAGTGTTGCATCTCTAAGAGAACCCCTGTACATGTCGGCTATATCCCTATCTTTTGGGTATATATAACTACTATTTCAAAGCCTCTCTATTAAAAATTGTTTTTTAAGCGCACTCGGTCGAATTCGAGAGAGATTCACACGTTGTACAAATTTGAGCGAGTTTCTCGGAGGAATACTTCCTAGTGTTGGGTCTCTTCAGGGCATATTTAATTAATTTTTCGAAGTCTGTCTACAAAAAATTCATTTTGGAGCGTACTCGTTCGAGTTCGGTAGAGATTCGCTCTACAAAAAATCATTTTGGAGCACGCTCGCTCGATTTCGAGAGAGATTCTCTCTCTTCTGGGCATATGTAACGAAGCCTCGCTTCTACAACTTCATTTTGGTCATCTAGAAGACTCTCTCGCGGTACCGATTAAGACCCCTTTTCAACGAACCCAATGCTAAGTATTAGACCCCATTTTTGTTATGGACCTACTGTCTTTTACAACCATCTCTCCCATCCACCCCTGACAAAAACGCATTATTTTGATAAGCTGCTGCTGCGGGAATGGTGTTTTTAGGCTGCCTATCAACGTTTGGCAATGGACACAGCGAACGTTATCTGGCGATTCGCTTTAATCGCCCTGCTTTGGAAATTTTTTCGATTAGATCAATTATTTGCCATTTATGGGCCAATACAAGCGACATGCCACTTCTGGGCCAATATAAATTAGCTCCAACATAGTTAGTATGATTTTTAGCGTCATGGCAGGCAAACGTTTAATCTCTTTCGCTTTGGTCGGCATTTTGATCGCCGTTGTCTCGGCTGGTCCCACTTCGCGGATTTTGGGTGGCACTGATGCCGAAACTAATCAATATCCGTATGTGGTCTCGGTGCGTGTCAATAATGCCCATGTCTGTACCGGTACTTTGATTTCGAATAGAGCAGCTGTGATTGCTGCAAGCTGTGTTACCAAGGCTGGATCCACTCCGTAAGTGCAGAAGAAAATTGGGAAAGAAGGAAATCTTTTACATTTCTTATCTACTTTTAGCATTGAGGCCGACACCGTCTCGCTCCGTGTGGGCAGCATTAACCAGTATGCCGGTGGTAAAATTGTCTCCGTCAGCTCCATTGTCATTCATCCCTCCAGTGGCAACTTCTTGCACAACATTGCCTGTGTCTTCCTGGCCGAACCTTTGGAATTCAACGAAAAAGTCAACAGCATTGCCTTGGCCGATGTCGATGATGTGGTCGATGAGGGTGCCCCTGTTAAAGTAACCGGTTGGGGTCTCCAACACGATGGCGCCTCTCCCTATAAACTCCAACAAGTCACCATGTCCGTCTTGAGTGCTGCCGAATGTGAACTCCAAGCCGGCTATGGCTATGATTCGGTGATTTGCTTGCAACACGATGCCGGTAATGGTGTCTGTCGCGGTGATGAAGGTGCCGGTGTTGTCAGTGGCAATCGTTTGGTGGCCGTCGTCAGTTTTGCCTTCGGCAGCTGTGGTACCAAATATCCCGATGTATCCACTAAGATTTCTTACTACCGCGAATGGCTCGATAGCCTTTTGGCCTAATCTGTGTGTGTTGGTGAATTTTATTAGCCCTCCATAATAAAAACAAATCGAACAAATGTCATATAAACTTTGGCGATAACTGAGAGAGCGTGTGAGTGAGTGTTTACTGTTATGAAATTGAGGTTATGTTTTTTTATGGCTAGCGGGTTGTAAAGATTGTCGATATCAGTAGACATTGGGATTTTTGAAGTGGTCAATAATTAGGGTCATTTATGGGTATTATTGCTTGGGTTTTATGAAGGGCTAAGACCAAAAAAAATAATCTGTTGGCATTTTAAACCAAGTACATTGGAACTGAAATAAGTGGGAAGATAACAGAACGAAGAACTCTAGAAGTTACGCCTTCAAAAGAACGAACAAATGCAAAAAGGTTTCGGAATACAAAAGCTTACTTCCTGTTAATCTTCAGGACCCAGAAGGCCTTCAATGGCCAGTGGAATTGAAGAAGTTTTTTTATACCCTCAGCCATATGGCTAGAGAGGGTATATATCGTTTGATACGGCCAAAACTTGCCTCATCGAAATATCGGTTTTAGACCCAAGATCTCTTTGGACCAAATCTGTTTCAGGATATTTGTAGTCGATCTAGTGCCTCATCGAAATAACGATTTTAGATTATAGCATTCTTTGAACCAAATCCGTTTCAGGACATTTGATGTCAATCTAGCGATGTCGGTCCGTCTGTCTGGCTGGCTAGTGCGCAAGAGAACTCTCTATGGAAGTATTCGATTTGGTCCAAACTTGGTACATTGTAATATTATTGTCAAACTAAGATCGAGTTCGGAGATGGGCATTGTCGGTCCACTCCTTCTGGTACCCACCCTGCCCTCTAAAAAAGGTCGAAATTTTCAGAAAAAGATAATTTTCCTGCACAGAAATATAAAGGATAATCCGATTTTGCTTCAACTTTGCAAATCCAAGTATTTGCGTCAATACTAGGTCAGGTGCGAAAATGGACAATATCGGTGCACTCCTTCAAGTACCTCCCCCATAAAGGGTTAACATTTCTAATAATTATAATTTATAAAACGTGATGTAAGTGTCCGATTGTCTTCAAATTTCCCACATCCCCTTATTTCTACTAACACATAATCTGCTAAGAAGATGGAATATATCGGTCCACTCCTTCCGGTACCTCCCACACAAAAGTTCGAAATTTCCGAAAAATATATTTTCTGCATAGAAAGAGGAAAGATAATCCGATTTTGCTCCAACTTTGCAAATCCAAATATTCGCGTCAATGCTAGGTCAGGTGCGAAAATGGACAATATCAGTGAACTCCCTCAATTAGCTCCCCCACAAAAGGTTAAAATTTCTAAAAATCTAAAAACTTATAAAATGTGATGTAAGTTATCGATTATCGTCAAATTACACACATCACAATATTTTTACTAACCTAAGGTCTGGTGTGAAGGTGGAATATATCGGTACACTCCTTCGGGTACCTCCCCCACAACCGGTCAAAATTTTGAATAATCATAAATTCTTATAAAATGTGATGTAAGATATCCGATTGTCATCAAATTACACACATCACAATATTTTTATCGTCAAATTACACACATCACAATATTTTTACTAACCTAAGGTCTGGTGAGAATATTCCATTTTCTCGGTCCACTCCTTCTGGTACCTCCCCCACAAAAGTTCGAAATTTTCGAAAAATATATATTTCCTGCATAGAAAGAGGAAAGATAATCCGATTTTGCTCCAACTTTACAAATCCTAATATTTGCATCTGTGCTAGGTCAGGTGCGAAAATGGACAATATCGGTGCACTCCTTCAAATACCGCCCCCACAAGGGGTCAACATTTTGAATAATCATAAAGTCTTATAAAATGTGATGTAATATATCCGATTGTTTTCAAATTACACAGAACACGATATTTTTATTAACCCAAGGTCTGGTGTGAAGATGGAATATATCGGTCCACTCCTTCCGGTACCTCCCACACAAGGGGTCAAAATTTTGAATAATTATAACCCTTATAAAATGTGATGTGAGATATCCGATTGTCTTGAAATTTCAGACATCCCAATAATTTTATTAACCCAAGGTTTGGTGCGAAGATAGAATATATCGATCCACCCCTTCCGGTACCTCCCACAAAAAAGTTCGACATTTTCAAAAAATATATTTTCTGCGTAGAAAGTGGAAAGATAATCCGATTTTGCTCCAACTTTGCAAATCCAAATATTTACGTCAATGCTAGATCAGGTGCGAAAATGGACAATATCGGCACATTTCTTCAAGTACCTCCCCCACAAAGGGTTAATATTTTAAATAATTATAACTCTTATAAAATGTGATGTAAGATATCCTATTGTCTTCAAATTTCCCACATCCACTTATTTCTACTAACAGAAAATCTGCTAAGAAGATGGAATATATCGGTCCACTCCTTCCGGTACCTCCCACACAAAAGTTCGAAATTTTCAAAAAAAAATATTTTCTGCACAGAAAGAGAAGGTATAATCCGATTTTGCTCCAACTTTGCAAATCTTAATATTTCCCTCAGTGCTACAGCAGATGCGAAAATGGGCAATATCGGTGCACTCCTTCAAATACCGCCCCCACAAGGGGTCAAAATTTTGAATAATCATAAAGTCTTACAAAATGTGATGTAATATATCCGATTGTTTTCAAATTACACAGAACACAATACTTTTATTAACCCAAGTGAAGATGGAATGTATCGGTCCACTCCTTCTGGTACCTCCCCCACAAAATGTCAACATTTTGAATATCCATGTAGCTCATAAAAGGCGAAATAAACATCCGATTCCATTCAGACTTGGCACATATCGATATTTCTATCATCACTAGAACTGTCATAAAAATGATAGAGATCGGACATTTCCTTCTAGTACCTCCCTCACAAAGGGTCAAAAGTTTCGAATAACCAACATGATTATAAAATCCGAAATAAGCATCCGATTCTCTTCATATTTCTCACAACCCATTATTTCTACTAAAACAAGATCAGCTGTGAAGATAGAATATATCGGTCCACTCCTTGTGGTACCCACCCCCCACAAAGGATCAAAATTTTTGAATATTCATGAAGCTCGTAAAACGCGAAATTTATATCCGATTCCAGTCAGACTTGGAAAGTGGTGAACTGCCGAATTTGGTTTATCCGATGAGGAAAAAATTCGTTCTCCAGCCAGTACTTGCCAAAAAGGTCAGCTGAAAATGTGCACCTTCGGTTGTCCAACAGAACTCAAGCGCCGACCTTTTTGTGGACCGACATAACAGCCGATGGTCGCTCTCCGCTCGTATTAATCGACCATGGCATCAGAATAAATGTCGAATATGATCGCGAAAATATTCTGGAGGGTGTATTGAAGCCTTTGGTACGCAAACATTTTGGCCGCAGATCTTGGACATTCGAAGAGGACTCAGCAGCGCCCCCCCAAGAATGGTTACAAAATGAGGTTCCTCGCTTAATTTCCAGTGCCCAATGGTCACCAAAATCTCCGGATACCAATTCGTTGGGCTTTTGTGTCTGGGGTAGTTTGAAAAGCAAGGTTGGCACTAAAACATACCAAGGTGTCGATCACCTCAAGCAAGCACTTCGCCGGGAATGGGCCAAAATACCTCAGAACAAAATTCGGGCAGCGTGCGATGGTTTCATTGGCCGTTTGAAGGCCATAATTCGTGCCAAAGGTGAACAATCCGAACAAATCTAAACTTATTCTAAAATTTGATGCATTTCCGATATTTTTTGCTTTCATTCAATAAAATTAAAAAAAAATGTAAAAATTATGGCCTTTGACTTTGTTCTCTCCCTAATACCAAACGTATGGCAATAATTTTCCAAACCTAAAATAAAACAATAAAATCTTACCCCCTGATAAAACCCCCATTTTCAGAATTTACACCTTGTAAAATCAGTCAGAAATGTTCAAATAATTAAATTTCATTCTCGGGAAAAACAAAAACTGGAATTTCATTGGCAACGCACGACAATCGATGAGAGATAAGATAAGATCAATAAAAAAAAAAAACATTTGAAGGCAGAATGAAATACAACTTCAAAATAGCAGCAGAAGCTATCAGTTCCCCACCTAATCTCACCCAAAACGTAACATAAAATATTGGCCAAAGCTTATCGCTCTCGCAGAGGTGATAAATTAGCACAGAGAACAACGTTATTTATTGGGAATAAATCGTTTTAAGCCACTATTCGGAAGCACTTTTCAGTTGTCACATGAAAGCAATGGCATCCGCACGTTTGACAATCGTTTTGATCGGTCTCTGGGCTTTTGGCAGCGCCGGTGTTTTGGGCCAGCCAACATCACGCATTTGGGGTGGTGAGGAATCGGGCAAGTCGGATTACCCCTATGTGGCCTCGGTACGTTTGGATGGTGGTCATATTTGTGGCGGTACCATTATTGGACCAAAATCCATTTTGACAGCCGCCCACTGTGCCGAGGAAAAAGGCAAGATGTAAGTACAAGAGAGGGAGAGAGAGAGAGAGGAACATTTTCCAACATTAAAAAAATAACTCCTCTATTCCCCCAGTGTCTCCCCCGATCGTTTGGTTGTGCGTGTTGGCAGCACCAATCAATTCTCGGGCGGTAAATTGGCCTATGTCTCAGCAGTCACTGTGAATCCCGACTATTCTGGTGTGAAAAACAATTTGGCCGTTCTCACTTTGGTAGATGCCCTGGAATGGACTGAACGCATACGCAGCATTGCCTTGGCCACATCGAATGAAGATTTGCCTGCCGCTGGCGCAAGTGTTGTTGTTGCCGGTTGGGGTAAACAATTGGAATCGGATTCTGCCTTCAAATTGAATTCCTACAAATTCAGCATGGCCAGCGAGGAAGTTTGCAAGAATGCTTACAGTGCCTTAGATGGCTCTGAATTTTGTTTGGATCATCCCCTCAAAGAGGGTAGCTGTTATGGCGATGCCGGCAATGGTGCTGTCTACAATAATAAATTGGTGGGTGTCAGCAATTTCGTTGTTGGTGCCTGTGGTTCCCGCTACCCTGATGTCTTCACCAATGTTGCCCAATATGCCACCTGGATTCAATCTGTTGTAGTTTAGGTTTTTCTTTCTCTGGAGTTGTGGAATTTCTAATAAATCAATTACGAATTAATACTGAATTGATTAAATTGTGTTTTGGTATTTATTGAAATTTCCAGGTTTGCTGTCAAGTTTTATTATGGCTTTCTTTTTGGAGGTGGCAGAGTGATTCACCGTCGATATTGTTTTTTTCCGATTGAGGGGATTTTTTAATTATCTATTATTTGTCTGTTGGAAAACAAAGAAAACAATTTTGAAGATTATATTTTTTTCAAACGAATTTAAGAAAGAAACGCCTTTGTTTAAGGCAATCCAAGCGAAAGAGAAAAAACGAGCGAACATCGTATTATCAAACATAACTCCCCTCAGGGGGAAGATCTGGAAGATCCATCTGGGGCATTTTTCTATAAACACGACTGCAGTTGGTCTATAGAGACGGTCTTATAGTCGTCTGTAAAGAGAGCCTGTGGCTCGTCCAATTTCATAGTCCATAGAGATCCCCTTCTAATCGTCCACAAAGGCCTCTTTCGGTTCGTCTAAAACGGCTCAACTTGTATGTAGTGATTTACTTCCGCTTCTCTGCAGAGACTCTCTTTCGATATCTATTTGTATAAAAACAAATACTAAAAACTCACAAAATACTTTTAAAAAAATCTACAAAAACTCCTGAAAAGACTCAAAAAAATCCTTAAAAACTCATAATTGGTCCTTGAAAAATTCTTTAGACAACTCAATTTTTTTTTGAAGGAATTGAGAATATTTACTATTGGTGTTTGAAAAGCTTCACCAAATTTCATAAAAATTCAGTAAAGGCCCTGAAAAAAAAATTCCAGATTTCATAAAAAATCACGAAAGTTTTTTTAAATTATTCTTTAAAATATACAGGGTGAGATAAAAAAAACGGCGACAAAGTCAAACACCACAATTTTTCCTTTTTTTTTTAATTTTATTGAATGAAAGCAAAAAATGTCGGAAATAGCATTAAATTTCAAAATAATTTTAGATTTGTTCGAATTGGTCACCTTTGGTACGAATTATGGCCTTCAAACGGCCAATAAAACCGTCACACACCGCCCGAATGTTGATCTACGGTATTTTGGCCCATTCCCGACGAAGCGCTTACTTGAAGTGATCGACACTTTGGTATTTTTAGTGCCAACCTTGCTTTCCAAAATACTCCACACACAATAGTCCAACGGATTGGTATCAGGAGATTTTGGTAGCCATTTTGCGCTGGAAATGAAGCGAGTAACCTCATTTTGTAACCATTCTTGGATGGCGCGTTCTGAGTGCGATGGTGCTGAGTCCGGTTGGAATGCGGTCTACGGCCAAAATGTTTGCCTGCTCAAGGCTTTAATACAACCTCCAGAATATTTTCGCGATAATATTCGGCGTTTATTCTGATGCCACGGTCGATTAATACGAACAGGGGAGAGCGACCATTGGCTGTTATGGCGGCCCACACCATCACCGTGGTCGACGCTTGAGTTCTGGTAGCCAATCGAACGTGCACATTTTCAGCTGACCTTTTCGGCAAGTACACACGATCATTTTGTTTGTTTACCAACTGCTGGACAACGAATGTTTTCTCATCGGCGACGCAGAAAACCAAATTCGACAGTTCGCCACATTCGGCCAAGCGAAGCAACTCTTTAGCTCTTTTTAGTCTATTTTCTTTCGGTTGCGGTATAAGTTCTTGTACTTTTTGGAATTTCAATGGCTTTACAATGGCTCATTGTTCAATATTCGCCGAATGGAATATTGCGATTTATTCAGCTCACGAGCCATTTTTCGGCCACTGCGATGCGGATTTCGATCGCCTTCGAATCGCTTCTTTCCTATTTGGATCATTTCTGCTGATGTTGCTGTTTTCTTCCATCCACTTCCTTGACGTCGGGCTACGCTACCAGTATCACGGTAACGAGCGTTGGAACGAGACATAAAAGATTTATTCACATAATGGTCTTAAAAAAAATTTTTGGATTGAACCTTCAAAAATTGTTTTTAATTTCGCGATTGGTCCTTGGAAGATCTCTTCAAAAATTCTTGAAAAAAATCATTGAAAAAATCGCGACATGTCCCTAAAAGTATGCCTAAAATAATACCTAAAAATGCATGTGAAAACCCACGAGTGGTGCTTGAAAATGGCTGTAAAAATCCACTATTGATCTTTGGAAAAAAATTTTAAAAATCGACAATTGGTCCTTAAAAACAATTTTTTTCTAAATCCATGAATGACACAAAAAAAATCCCTAAAATATCCACAATTTTTTATTCAAAGTCCTTTAATTTTTTTTTTTTTTAAATTGGCTCTTAAAAATATGTCTTAAAAAACAATCCTTGAAAAACTCCTTATATATCCAAGATTGATCCTCGAGTTTTCTGTTAAATAATCTCGTACGAATCTTGCAAAAGTTCTGGAGAAATATCCCTTAAAAAATATCCTCGATTAGTCGTTGAAAAAATCTCTAGAAAATCCCCGATCGCGATTGAAACAAGTAAAAAAGCAGCTAAGTTCGGCCGGGTTGAACTTTTAATACCCTCCACCATTTGGAGGGAACATGAAATAATTTCAAAAAAAAATTCCGAAAACTACAACTTAAATGAAAACTATTATTTGGAAACTATACGAAGACGAGGACCTGCTTTCGAATTTTTTTGTCATAGGCTGTAGTACCCATTACAAACTTCAAATAACAAATTCCGGTGAATAATGTCGCTAGAATCATCAAAAATATAGAATATCGGGATGTACCGTTATATGGGGGACATACGAAAACGTAAATCTACATGCGATTTTATTTTTGTCATAGGCTATAGTACCCATTACCAACTTTAAATTCGAAATTTGAAATAATTCCGGTAAATAATGTCGCTAAAATCATGAAAATACCGAATATCGGGAGGTACCGTTATATGGGGGCTATACGAAAACGTGCACCGACATGGCCTATTTACGAACTTAACCTGTCTACTAGTAAACTAAGCATGTATGCAAAATTTTAGCCTTCTATCCACAATTCGTTCGAAAGATGATTACCACAGATAGACGGACGGACAGCGCTAGATCATCTTAAAATTTTACGCTGATCCAAATATATATACTTTGTAGGGTCTATTATAAATATTTCGAGGAGTTACAAACGGAGTCACAAAATTAATATACCCTCCATAGAATGGTGGAGGGTATAAAAAGTACCATATTTGGACCAAGAGTGTTGGCCAAAACTTCAAAATCCTAGCTTCAGCCGTTACTTTATTAATTTTTTATACCCTCAGCCATATGGCTGAGAATGCAAAAATTTCCGTTTCAGGAGTCGGTCTAGCAATATCCGCCCGTCTATCTGTCTGGCTGGGTGGTATCCGATCCAAACTTGGTACACCGTTATATTATTGTCAAACTTAGATCGAGTTCGGATATGAGCAATATCGTTCCACTCCTTCTGGTACCTCCCCCACAAAAGGTCGACATTTTCAAAAAAAAATATTTTTCTGCACAGAAAGAGAAAGGATAATCCGATTGTCCTCAAATTTCACACATCCCAATATTTTTATCAACCTAAGGTCTGGTTTTAAGAATATAACATATATATGGAATATATCGGTCCGCTCCAGCTGGTACCTCCCCCCACAAAAGGTCGAAATTTAAAAAAAAATATTTTTTGCACAGAAAGTGAAAGTATAATCCGATTTTGCTCCAACTTTGCAAGTCCTAATATTTCCATCAGTGCTAGGTCATGTGCGAAAATGGACAATATCGGTCCACTCCATCAAGTACCTCCCCCACAAAGGGTCAACATTTTTAATAATTTCAACTCTTATAAATCGTGATACAAGAGTCCGATTGTCCCCAAATTACGTAGACCACAATATTATTATTAACCCAAGGTCTGGTATGAAGATGGAATGTATCGGTCCACTCCTTTTGGTACCTCAGCCACAAATTGTCAACATTTTGAATATCCATGAAGCTCATAAAACGCGAAATTAACATCAGATTCTATTCAGTCTTGGCACATCTCAATATTTCAATTATTACAGTGTCTATTATAAAAATAGTAGAGATCGGACCATTCCTTCTGGTAACTCCCCCACAAAGGGTTAACGTTTTAAATAACCAAAACGAATATCCGAAAAAAAAAACATTCGGTTCTCTTCTCCGTTATTTCTACTAACACAGTGACTTCGTTCCCAATTTAAGAGTTCTAGCTCTACTGGTTCCAAAAAAAAACCCAGCCTTATTCGCTACCTTAGGACCAGGTATGATCTCACCCTAATTTCAAGATTCTAGCATCGGTCGTTTAGTTTGGGTCTGCCGGAAAATATTAAATTTTTGTATCAACTAATATCATCAATATTGACTCAAACTATATTCCAGGTTCCACCAACAAATTCCAAATTCATAAATTTCCCACGGAGCCGGATTTAGATTCTTTCACGGTCATTGAAAATTTTGTAAAAAAAAAAAATTGTTCTTCAGAATTATGAATTTCCAAAATAGAGCTCCAACCTAGATAATCTGCACTATACAATCGTATTTAGATAGGTGGGTATTCTATCAAATCAAAGCGATTAGATTTATTTTTGTATTGGACAATAAATTAAATACCTAACTCTGATTATCGCAATTCCGATTAAGTAATCCCGATATAGCCTATAAATACTAGTGGACTTGCCAAGCATTGCGATTCAATTTCTTCTGATCAGTGAATTGTTAACGTCTGGCCGTAACGGTATGTCTCTGTTGCAATATTTTCTAGTTCTCAGCGCCGTGGTCTGTGTGGCCTGGGCCACACCTTTGGGTGGCCGTGTTGTGGGTGGCAATGATGCTGCACCCGGCCAGTTCCCCTATCAAATCTCGTTGCGTCGAGATCACAGCCATATCTGTGGTGGTTCGATTATCGACAGACGTTGGGTTTTGACGGCGGCCCATTGTGTGGTCATTGAAGGCACTGAACCGTAAGTTTTCTGGAGTGCATACACAATTTCAATATGAATTCTAACTTTTCTGTATCTTTCCCCTTAGCTTCCCCGCTGATCGCTTTACCGTGCGTGCCGGTACCCACAATCGCATTGCTGGCGGTATCATTGTCAATGTGAAACGTGTCATTGTCCATCCCGGCTATGTGGTCTACAATGACTTGGCTTTGCTGGAATTGGAAGAGGAGTTGGAATACTCTGAATACATTCAACCCATTGAATTGGCCGAAGAGGAAGTACCAGCCGGTTCGGATGTCATCATCTCGGGTTGGGGTCTAACTGAACATGCTGGCGCTAATTTACCCATTATCATGCAATGGTACACAGTGTCGGCTCTCAGCAAATTGGGTTGTTCCTCGAAAATTGGTTTCTTCACCGATGCCTTGATCTGTTTGGATCATCCATCCGGTGCTGGTGCCTGCAATGGCGATTCGGGTGGCCCCGCCGCCTACAATGGCAAATTGGTGGGTGTTGCCGGTTTTGTGGTCATCAAATGTGGCTCTACCCGTCCCGATGGCTATGCCAAGGTTGCATACAATGTTGATTGGATTAGAGAGAATATGGTGGAATCGTAAATTGAAGAATTTTTTGGGAAAATAAATTTAAAAAAAAAAATTAAAATTAATTTTTTTTTTGATTTGAATTGGGGAGTAATTTTGAAGATTTTTTTTGAAGTTGGAAGATAGAGGCTAAGGAATCGGGATCACTTGAGGATGTAATGGGAAATATATATTTTTTCTTCTTGAAAATTTTTAGAAAGAGGCAAACTTTTATTTTGGAAAAAAAAAAATCCAAAAATAAAGAAAATCGAAAAATGGGTTTTTTGATCATCCAAATTTGACGTATTTTTTCATGGTAACCGTTAATTATACAAATTTCTGTTGTTCAGAGATTCCCAATAAAATTTGATCTAGAATATTTCCTTCTTTGGAATTTTTGTCAAAAAATGATGTTTTATGGGAGATTTTGACTCGCAATGGCAACGTGTTAAATTAACCGTAAAAAAGAAACGACATAATTTTCACTTTTAATACATACATTTCGAGTGTAATTTTCTTAAAAACTATTAAACCTAGATATAAGGTTTATTCTGAGATTTATAGTGAAATTTTCTGTAGAATATTTCTTCTCTTAACACCTTTCGCCTAAAACGAAATTTTATATTACTTTCAGGTGTCAACTCGAAAAAAGGCCGAGAAAAAATTTATCAAAAAACAAGGAAATATTTTCACTTTTTTTTGACATCCAAATATTTTCTTGATTTTCTCATGGTACCCATAAGGTATAGAACTTACTTTTTTTCAGAGACTCACAATGAAATTTGATCTAGAATATTTCTTTCTTTAACAGTTTCCCCAAATACTAAAGTATTAAGGGAGATTTTGACTTAGAATGAAAACACGCTTAATTAGCACTGAAAATCATAAAGACATAATTTTCAAAATTTCAAAATTTTGAATGAAATTATCTTAAAAACTATTAAATCTAGATATATGGTTTATTCTAAAATTTGTAGTGAAATTTTGTGTAGAATATTTCGTCTTTTGACACCTTTCGTGTAAAACTAAATTTTATGTTACTTTCAGGTATCAACTCGAAAGAAGTCCGAGGAAAGATTGATCAAAAACTGTGGGAATACTTTCGTCGTTTTTTTTTTTTTGGCTATATTTAGATGATATGCAGTGGAAATAGAGATTTCTCTTCTTCGGTGACTTAGAGAGAAATTTTATGAAGAATATTTTTGCCTATGACGTCATCCTTCTAAAATTATGCTTTGTTGAAGATTTTTGCTTAAACTCACGACTTTAACCCTTAAATGTGTTTTACATATTTAGGGATTCCTGTCGTTTTGTTATGATTTATAATCTCTATATTCTCTGGAATAAACTCATCTATTTCCAGAAGACCTTCGAAATGTCCTTAAACTGTAGGTCACCGTTGGAAGACCTCCGAAAGTTCTTCTTTCCGTAAGGGTCCCCCAAAAGGCCTTTATTAAAGAATCTCCAAAGACTCTGCTCTGTAATGGGTGACCAAAATTACATACTCTTGAAGAAGAAATCCGAAATATCCTCTATCGATAGAGAACTTCTAACAGCTATTCAATCTATAAAAGTATCAAGGACCTGTGGAAGTCCTTCTAGCTACAGGAAGACTTCCAGAAGATTTCCTATGTATAATAACTTTTAGGAGGTCAGGGATATATTTCCAATTAAAAAAAAACAGAAGCCGTTTGAAATGAGAGATTTTTGCTAGAATATCCTCTATTTACATAAGATAAAAAGATTTGAAAATCGCTTGAAAGTCTATTATTTTATATCCACGGGAGGCAATTTGACTGAATTCCCGGCTTAGAAAGGAACTTTTAGAACTTTTTTACCAATGGCAGATACAGAAAATGTCTCAATCTGTGAAGGACTTTCAACAATTATACTTTAAGTCCCACTGAAGATTGAAGTCATCAACCATTCCATCTACACCAGATCTATCCATTTTCCATCCATGTAGAAAACCGGAAAGTCTCCTAGCTATATGAAGGTCAGACAAAATGTCAAATATCCTATGAATTTGGAAGACTTTCACGTTTGGAAGTCGTGCCAATAATTTACTTTCTATAGAAGACCCAGACCCAGTATTCTTTGAATAGAAGACCTTTAAATGATTAACGATTTTTCTTGATTGGCGACCTTGGAAATAATGCCACAAAAAGGTCTTCTACGAATGTAAGACCCTCGAATAGCCATCTAAAGGTAATAGAATGCCATCTAGAGAGGATTTTCGAGGATATTATTTAAGGATAGATAGTTCCTAAATGGACTTCAGAGGAAAGAAGACCCTATAAGGGTCTCCGATGGAAAGAAGACGCCCACAGATGATTTACATAGAGAACTTGACGAGTCTTCCAGCCCCTTAAATAAGCTTCAATGTATAACGGCCCTCCAAAGTCTTCTTTGGGTGGCACCGCTTCTCAAGGATATTCTATGTTTTATGTCCCTTAAGGGGACTTCAGAGGACAAAATATATTTCAAGGAGTTTTCCATGGAAAGAAAACGCCCACAGATGACTCTTGAAAGTTCTTCTATAACTATGGACCTTCTAAAATATGTCTGTAACTAAAAATCCTGCCTGGCCACTTCTGTGAATAGAATAGACATCTGAAACTTTAAAATGGAGAAAATGGGAGACATTCGAAAAGAAGTCCACAAAAAGGCCTTCTACAACTTGAAGACCCTCAACAGGTCATCTAAAGGTCATGGAATTTCATTACGAGAGGATTTCGGAGAATATTACTTAAGGATAGATAATCCGTAAATGGACTTCAAAAGAAAGAAAAAGGGATCTCCGATGGAAAAAAGACGGCGACAGGCGACTGTAACTTTAGAAGACTCAGCGTTCTTTCGGTCTATATAGAGACCTTGACATGTCTTCCAGCCGCTTAAATAAGCTTCTATGTATACACGGAGAAGGCCGTCTAAAGATCTTCTGTGGATGGAAGACCCTCAAAATATCTTCCACGCATAGAATACCTTCGTGCAAGGACATTTATGCATAGAACTTCGAAAGGCCTCTCATCCCGTCTTTACTTAAAGACATTAAAAGGTACGTCCATGGATAGAAGACTCTATCTAGAGACTTCAAATGATAGAGGACTCTTGAAAGGTATTTTAAGCATAGATAGTTCCTAAATGGGACTTTAAAAAAATAAGATCCTTCGATGGAAAGAAGACGCCAACAGATGATTCTCGAAAATTCTTCTATGGCTAGGGGTCTTCTAAACGTAATTTGTGTGTAAAGATCTGTCAAACGATTTCTGTGAATAGAAGACCTTATAAAGATAGGAGACCTTTGAAAGATTCCCTATCAAAAAATTTCACAAAAAGGCCTGCTACAGATAAAAGACCCTCAAAGGTCAAGAAATAGCATTAAGAGAGGATTTCGAAGGGTATTACAACTTCAAAAGGGTCTCTCATTGTAAAGACTTTCAATAGGGACTTCAATGGATAGAAGACTCTTAAAAGGTATTTCAAGAATAGATAGTATCTTAAAGGTACGTCAGAGGAAAAAATATCCTTTCAGGGGTCTTCGATGGAAAGAAGATCCCAACATATGAATTTGGGTCTTCCAAAGAATATCTGTGAATAAAAACTTCTGTTAATAAAAGATTCCCTATAAAAAAATCCATAAAAAGGCCTTCTGCGGAGGGAACATCCTTAAAGGTCATATACCCTAAAAGGTCATAGAATACCATTAAGAGTGGATTTCTGAGGATATTACAACTTTATAAAGGTCTCTCATCACAAAGACTTCCAATAGGGACTTTAATGGATAGAAGACCCTCGAAAAGGTATTTTAGGGATAGATAGTCCATTAAAGGGACTTTGGGGGAACCGAGATCCTTTAAGGGGTCTTCAATGGAAAGGAGACGCCCACAGATGACTTTTGAAGATTTTTTTATGGCTATGGGCCTGCTATAGGACGTCTGTGAGTAAAAATCTGTCCAACGACTTCTATGAATAAGAGACCTTTAAAGGTTAAAAGGTTAGGATAAAAGTTCCTCAAAAGTTCGACAATGGATATAAGTCCCTCAAAAGGCAATCAAAATTTATTCGGATAAAACAATTTCAAAAAATCATCTACGTAATGAAGACCCTCACAAGGTCTTCAAGGGATAGAAGGTGCCCAAAATTTTCCCATCTACCAAAGACGTTGCCTACCACTCCCGTTTTTTTCTCCCATACCGACCCACTCTAATATTCCATTAATGGATTTTCCACCTCGTCTACGACGCAGGCAAATTTCCGCTCCCAAAGCTATTTATGGGCCCTTAGTGACGTCACAATGATTTACTATTTTTTCCAGAGATTAGCCGCAGAATGGTAAAAACCGCCGCGAAAATCAAAATCATTAAATCTGTCAAAACAGAGATTAGATTTAATAAAAACAAAACGATTATCATTTGCTTCCGATTATGGGCCGTATAAAAACTTAGAAAAATTGTCGACATAATTTAGTTGGCTTGTCAGGCAGTACAATGAAAAGTTTGGGTATTTTGGTGTTGGCTGGACTCTTGGGTTTGGCTGTGGCTCAACCTTCGGGCCGTATTGTTGGTGGTCTCGATGCCTATGAGGGTCAATTTCCCCATCAAATTTCCCTGAGACGCAGTGGTTCCCACACCTGTGGTGGTTCGATTATAAGCAGAAATTACATTCTTACTGCCGCCCATTGTGTTGTCTACGAGGATGAAGAGGGGGCCTATCATGCGTAAGTATTTATTGGATTTATGGGAAAAGGAAGCATAAATACATTTTCAATTCATTTTCCAGCCTTGATGCCTCTCTGTACACAATTCGTGCGGGTTCCGTCAACCGCCTCATGGGAGGTGTGGTCAAACAGGTCGTTCAAATCACTGTCCATGAAGACTATGGCAATTTCATCAATGATGTGGCCCTGCTGAAACTCGAAAGTCCCTTGATTTTCTCCAACAACATTGCTCCCATTCCCTTGGCCTCTGCAGAAACTCCTGTTGGCAGTCCCATTGGCATCTCCGGCTGGGGTCGTTTGAAGACCGGCGGCGATATCCCTGTCAAGCTACAATACAACACCCTCGAATCGATTTCCAAATTGAAATGTTTCACCTCGATTTTCATGTCTTCGGATGCCCTCATCTGTTTGGCCCACACCTCGGGTAATGGTGCCTGCAATGGTGATTCCGGTGGTCCAGCCACCTATAATGGTGAGCTGGTGGGTGTAGCTGGCTTCGTTGTAAGCGGTTGTGGTACCTCAAATCCGGATGGTTATGCCAAAGTCTTCTATCACGTTGAATGGATTAAGAAACATTCCGATTTATAGGAAGTGGTTGTAAATAATGGCGTATCAATGATTAGATGCGGTTTTTGCCATAATATAGTAAATCATTTGTTTATGTTTATTTTGGTTTATTATTTGTCCTGAATGTTTTCGTGAAAAAAATACTTCGTTTAATTTATTAAACACTTGATTGGATTTTTATTTTGGGGATTTTGATGACGGAATTTGGGAGTTGAAGATAGAAGATATTGTTTTTTTAAGTTTTTACCTAGAATGGACTTAAAAAACATTATAAGAGAGGCAGGCAGGCTTTTAAGTGAATATTTTCCAAGGATAAAATACCTTCGAAGGACCTTTAAAAAACATAAGACTCTCAAAAGGCATTTTAAGGAAATACAATTCTCCAGATCTCTTCTATTGATTAAAGGCCTTCAAATGGTCCTCTATGTATAGAAGACCATTAAATTGATTTCCAATTTTTCACTACTTGGCCCCACCCACGAAATGGTGACGAAGATACCCTTGAAAGATTCCCTATCAAAAAAAGTCCACAAAAAGGATTAAAGACCCTCAAAGGTCAAGAAATGACCATTAAATGGTCTCGAAGTGAAAATTTTCTAAGGATAAAATTCCTTCAAAGGGCCTTACAAGTTAAAACACCTCCAAAAAATCTGTCTAAGAATAGAAGACTCACAAAAGGCATTTTTTTCGAATATAAGACTGTCGAGATGTCTTTCATTGAAAAAAACGGCCTTCAAATGGCCTCTACGGATAGAATATCCTTAAATTGTCTTCTATTTATAGAGGTCGCGTAAAGATAGGGATATTATAACTCCAAAAAGGTCTCTCATCGAAAAGACTTTCAAAGGAACATCAAGGGGTAGAATACTCTTGAAAGGTATTTTAAGGATAGATATTCCGTTAATGGGACTTCGAAGGAAAGAAGATGCCCACAGATGACGATAGAAGACCCCGTCTGCTTTCGGTGTTCAAAGAGACCTTGACAAATAAGCTTTTATGTATGAACGTCCCTACAAAGTCTATTATGGGTGGAGCCCTTTCTAAAGGGTTTCTACAGATATAAAAACTTCATAATTGCCTAGAGATTGAGGCCGCCCAGAGTATTTCTGAGTATATAACAAATCCAAATAGGTCTCTCATCGTAAAGATTTTCAGTAGAGACTTCAATGGATAGAAGACTCCAGAAAGGTATTTTAAGGATAGATTGTCCCTAAATGGGATTTCAAAGAAAAGAAAATCCTTCAAGGGGTCTTCGATAGAAAGAAGACCACCACCGATGACCCTTGAAAGTTCTTCTAAGATTATGGGCCTTCTAAGGTACGTATATCTTCTGTGAACAGAGAAGCTTTAAAATATTTTTTTCTGGAAGGGAGACCTTTGAAATTAAGGCCATTAAAGCCCTCTACGGATGGATGACCCTCATAGAATAATATTTAGAGAGGATTTTCTGAGAACATTACAACTTCAAAGAGATTTCTCATTGTAAAGATTTTTAAAGGGACGTCCATGGATAGGAGCATTTTGAAAGGTATTTTAAGAAAAAAAAGAAAAGAAATAAGGGTATACGGAAATAAGATTCATCGAGGGTTCTTCGATGGAAAGACGTCGCCCACAAATGACTCTTGAAAGTTCTTCTGTGGGTATGTGCCGTCTAAAAGACGTGTGTGACTAAAAATCTTCCTAGCGACTTCTACGAATAGAGGACTTTAAAATGTTAAAGGGTTTTCTTGATGGAAGACCTTTGAAAAGATGTCCACAAAAAGGTCTTCTACGGATGGAAGACCCTCAAAAGGTCACGAAAAGTCATAGAATACCATTTAAAGAGGATATATGAGGATATTAAAACTTCAATGGAAAGAAAACTCTTGAAAAAAATTTTAAGGACAGCTACTCCTTTAATGGGACTTCAAAGAAAAGAAGATCCTTCAAGGGGTTTACGATGGAAAGAAGGCGCCCACAGATGACTGTCGAAAGTTCTTCTATAGATACGGGCCTTCTAACGGACGTCTGTGAATAAAAAAAACCTACCCAGCGACGTCTATGAATAGAAGCCCATTGAAGGGGTAAAGGTTTTTATTGATGGTAGACATTGATAAAAAGTCCACATAAAGTCGGATGGAAGGACATTAAAAGGATATGGTATAACATTAATAGAGAGGATTTATGAGGATATGACGAATCTAAAAAGATATCTGATTGCAAAGACTTTCAAAGGGACTTGAAGGGGTAGAAAGCTTTTGAATGTTATTTTTGGATAGTCTCTAAATGAGACATCGCAGGAAAGAAGATCCTCTAAGGGGTCCTCGATGGAAAAGAGACGTACACAAATCACTGTTGAACGTCATTCTTTGGACATGGACTTTCTAAAGAAAGTCCTTGAGTAAAAAACTACGTAACGACTTCTGCGAAAAGTTAAAGTTTTTTTAGAAATAAGTCCATGAAAATACCTTCATCGGATTGAAGATCTCTCAAAAGTTCATCTAAAGATAGCACGTCCATAAAAAGTCCTCTATGACTAAATTGCTATTAACAGGTAATTTTTAGATGTAAGAACTTTAAAAGGATATTCCGGGACAAACGGTCATTCATACCATTCCAACTGTCTTATAGGAACGGAAAAACTTAAAATAATCTCCATGAAATTGAATACCATAAAAGATATTTTTTTTGGGATAAAAGACAGACAAGAGATTTTCTGTGGATAGAAGTCTTAAAAAGGTTCTTCAATTAAAAGTATAGTTTTGCGAGGTCTTCGACGGATAGAATTAGTTTAACAAAGTCGTCTATGGATACAAAAGCTTCAAAAGGTCTGCTAGGATAGAAGAGCTCCTACAGGAAATGATGACCCTCGAAAAGAAAAAATAAACACCCTCTAATGGACTTTCCTCAGCAGAAGACCCTCAAGAGGTCAGCTAAGAATATAAATACTTTGAACAGATCGTCTGTGAATAAGATACCTGGAACGAATTTTTTGTTGCTATGGCATTCAAAAGGGTTTACATGGAAAGAAGACCTGTAAAAGGCCTACTACAGATAAGAGATTGTCAAAAAAAAAAAAAAAAAATGTGGAAATAGTAAACTTTAAATAATATCTTTTGGGATAGAAAGTGGTTATTAGGTTTTCTATAAATAGAGGTTCAGGAAAGGGTTTTTAATGACAAGATCTTCCACAAAGGGATTTTAATGGAAAGAAGGCCCTTCGATGGGGAAAAAGAGCCATAAAGAACATCTCAATAGCTGAAGACCCTTAAAAGATATTCTATGGATAAAATACCTTCAACAGGTCGTCTATGGGTACGAGACCCACAAAAAGCTTTCTGTGGACAAAAGGAACAACTTTAGAGACTTAGTACTAACTCTCGAAATTGTATTGCATTTTTTTTTCTAGAGGAAGCTACATATTTCAGGATACCGGGATATTTGACCCAAAAATCCGGGGCGAGGAACCGGGTTAAACCCGGACCTATTAAACCCATAAACCCAGAAGCTAATTAAAATACCTATCCACCAATTTGTCCTATGGTGGAGTTATGTGTCGATTATATAGGAACTGCATTTTTTATAACCCGAATATGTGTCCATTATGGGGGGTCGACCGGATTCAAAGACACACATCTCTTAAATCCTGTAAAGATAATAACACATATTGTAGCATTTTTGTAAAAGTTATAGTGTCAACTATAATTTGGCATATATTTCTAGACAACCTTTTCGACTTCAGGAAGATTTTTTTTTTGTAAAAATCTGGGTCCAAAAAATCTGTAATTTTGATATAACTCCCAAAACCGTTGCAATAACACCATCATGTGACCATCAACACCATCATGCGTTGGATAGGTATTTTCATTAGCTTTCAAATGATTTTTACACCCTCCACTTTGCAAAGGAGGGTATATTAACTTTGTCATTCCGTTTGTAACATTCTTAAATATTCGTCGTAGACTTTATGAGGTATGTATATTCACAATCAGCATAAAATTCCGTCTGTCTGTCTGTCTGTCTGTTGAAATCACGATACAGCCCACATTATTTGACGTAGAGCGCCAAAATTTAGTAGAGCAATTTGTATTGTGTCTAGGATGGTTGGTATTGAAAAAGAGATATATCGGTCCACGTTTTGGTATAGCCCCCATATAACGGTACCTCCCGAAATTCGCTATTTTGATGATTTATGCCACATTTTTTCACGGATCTGTCTGAAAATTGGTATTTGTAGGTCATAACGGGTCTCAGTTCGAGTGGCGAGACATTGCGTTTATAGGTCCACGCTTTGGTATTGCCCCCATATAAAGGTACCTCCCGATATTCGGTATTTTGATTATTTTTGCCACATTTTTTCACGGATTTGTCTTAAAATTGGTATTTGTTGGTCACAATGGGTTCCAGCTCCGGTGGCGAAACATTGCATGTATGGGACCACTATTTGGTATAGCCCACATATAACGGTACCTCCCGATATTCGGTATTTTGATGATTTTTGACACATTTTTTACGAATTTATCTGAAAATTGGTAGTTGCAGGTCATAATGAGTTCTAGCTCCTTTGGCGAAACATTGTAGGTCTACGTTTTGGTATAGCCCACATATAACGGTACCTCCCGATATTCGGTATTTTGATGATTTTTGACACATTTTTTTTACGAATTTCTTTGAAAATTGGTAGATGCAGGTCATAATGAGTTCTAGCTCTTTGGCGAAACATTGTATGTATAGGTCTACGGTTTTGTATAGCCCCATATAGCCGTATTTCCCGATATTCGGTATTTTGATGATTTTTGGCACATTTTCCCATGAAGTTTTCTAAAAGTTGGTATATGTGGGTCATAATGGGCTCTAATGTTTCCTGGAGGGTATTAAAAGTTTGGCCCGGCCGAACTTAATGTTCTTTTACTTGTTTATTGTATATCCGGGTCTAACCCGGGTCTTGGAGCCGCATTTTCGGGTCAAATATCCAGGTATCCGGGTCCGTCCCTCAAGAAAAAAATACTTTCTCACAATCTGGGTGCAAAAATATATATCTGCAAAAATTTTCAAAACAAAAAAAAAAATCTGGGAGTTTTTACCAAACTAGATTTATGCCGTAAGAATTCTCATTACCAAATTAAGGCTTTTCCAACAAATTTTTGGCAGTCATAACTACTTACAAATCCCACTACCAACCTATTATTTACCACAACGTTAAAAAGTACACATATTATTTCTACACAAGAGGTACTTCTAAGAAAGCCTACCCAGCACAAAAAATTCCATTACCAAATAATGGGATTCCCAACAAATTTTTGGCAGTCATAACTACTTACAAATCCCCCTACCATCCCATTATTTTTTCACAAGATTATTATTTCATATGAAAATTCGGTGGCACGAATGCCCATCTACAATTGTCCTTATTCTTCCTCTACACCGTAAAATCTGTTGAAACAAAAGCTTCTGAAATGTCTTCCAGCAATCGAAGAAGTTCTATGGCATTTAAAAAATACGTCAAGAGCTCTTTTATTATTTTTTACTAAACACTGTCCACTGAAGACACCAATGCTGATGGTCATAAAACTTTGCGATTGGTTATCTGATATTGATATTGAGTTTCGTTGACTTGAAAAGAACCCATATAAATTTATCAAATTTTGCGCATTTATCTTCGATCGTACAAACGCCGAGAATCTATAAATACGAGCCCTAGTTTCATATCGCATATATTTGTCGTGTTCGTCGTCTTTGGGATAAGCTCGCAAACGTAAGAATGGGTAAAATTTCTCTGGTCATTTTGGCCTGCATTGTTGTGGCAGCAACGGCCTCACCAACGAGTCGTGTGGTGGGGGGTCAAGATGCCACCGAGGGGCAATTTCCCCATCAAGTTTCGCTGAGGCGTAATGGTTCCCATACCTGTGGTGGTTCTATTATTAGCCGTAACTTTGTCCTCACCGCTGCCCATTGTGTGGGCACCTCGAATAGCGAGGGTGAATATTATACGTAAGTTCACAACACCCATGATGAGGAAGGGAGAATTTTGTAATTATTGGTTCTTTATTACCTTAGCTATGACCCTTCAGTTTTCACCGTTCGTGCCGGCAGCAATGACCGCTTCCAGGGTGGTGTCCTCGTCAATGTGGCCGAAATAACGGCCCACGAAGATTATGGTAATTTTTTGAATGATGTTGCCCTGCTGCGTTTGGCCGAACCACTGATCTACTCGAAGAACATACAACCCATTCCCTTGGCCACCACAGAGGTACCAGCTGGCGCTCCAGTGATTATCTCCGGTTTTGGACGCATAAAGCATGGCGGAGATCTGCCACGAAAATTGCAATGGAACACCTTGACTGCCATTTCACGCAGTGAATGTAAACGTTTGATTAATTGGGATTCGGATGCTTTGATCTGTTTGGCCCACGAAGCCGATAATGGTGCCTGCAATGGTGATTCAGGTGGTCCAGCTATGTATAATGGTGAAGTTGTGGGTATTGCCGGTTTCGTGTATGGCGGTTGCGGTAATATCTATCCAGATGGTTATGCTAAGGTCTTCTACCACACCGAATGGATTAGAAAGCATTCGGATTTGTAAGAGAGATGGAGAAGGTGGGAAGAATTTTTTTTGGAGTTTTATGTCGTGGCAATAAAAGGTGTTCGAAACTCGAGATATTCGTCTAAATTTTTAGTTGGTGAACCTGGTATTTAAAACAAAACAAAAATTGTGTTTTCAATGATCCTCTAAAGTCTTGGGTGAAGTTCTTGGGAATAAAAAGGGATTTTGTTGGAATTTATTGAACCTAGAGCATCTGGTCTTCTAAGCTCGAGGACATTCTAATCTGGTTGTTAATTGCCAGCAAGCACATCAATGCAACGTAATTTCAGATTTGGATAATGAAAATCGGATCAAGGTGTTTAAATCTCAAAATCTGCAGGATTTTTCTCATAGGTCACCAATTAGTTGACCTTTAGCAAATATATTTTGAAGGTTTAGAACAGACCTCTCAAGAAACCTAAGTGTCAAGTTTCATCTAATTTGGTTGGATATTGTGGCAAAAATCTTCAAAATACTGAAAATCGGAGGGTACCGCTTAATGGGGGCTATAACAATTAGTGGACCTAGATCGAAAATATTTCACAAGGAGATAACATACCTAGCGAGAACCACAATTGTCAAGTTACAGCTAATTTAGTTGGAAATTGCGGCCGTAATCTTCAAAATACAGAAAATCGGGAGGTACCGTTTAATGAGGGCCATACCAATTTGTGGACCTATAGCAAATATTTTTTGTGGAGAGAAAACAGACTCACCGAGAAACCCAATTGTCAAGTTTCATCTAATTTTGTTGGATATTGTGGCAGAAACCTTACAAATACCGAAAATCGGGAGATACCGTATAATGGGGGCTATACCAATTAGTGCACCAGAATCGAACCTTTTTTGCAAGGGGAGAACAGATCTCTCAAAAACCTCAAATGTAAAGTTTTAACTAATTTGGTTAGAAATTGTGGCAGAAACATTCAATCTTCAAAATACCGAAAATCGGGAGGTACTGTATAATGGGGGCTATACCAATTAGTACACCAGAATCGAACATTTTTTGCAAGGAGAGAACATACTTCTCAAGAACCCCAAATGTAAAGTTTCAGCTAATTTGGTTGGAAATTTGTTACCGGAATCTTCAAAATACCGAAAACCGGGAGGTACCGTTATATGAGGGCTATACCAATTGGTAAACCCTTAGCGAACATTTTTCGCAAGGAGAGAACATACCTACCGAAAACCCCAATGGTCAAGTTTCAGCTGATTTGGATGGAAATTGTGGCAGAAACATTTAAGATACAGAAAGTCAGGAGGTGCCGTTTAATGAGGGCTATACCAATTAGAGGACCTGAATCGAACATTTTTTGCATGGAGAGAACAGACCCACCAAGAACCCCAATTGTCAAGTTTTAACTAATTTATTTGGAAATTATGGCAGAAACCTTTAAAATACCGAAAATCTGGAGGCACCGTTATATGGATACCTCCATATAACCAAATAGTGGGCCTGCAGTGAATATTTTTTGCAGGGAAAGAACAGACCTTTCATGAACCCCAAATGTCAAGTTTAATTTAATTTGGTTGGAAATTGCGGCAAAACCCCTCAAAATACCGAAAATCGAGAGGTACCGTTATATGGGAGCTATACCAATTAGTGCACTTATGGCGAATATTTTTTGCAAGAAGAGCACAAATCATACAGGATCCCCAATTGCCAAGTTTTAGCTAATTTGGTTGAAAATTAGTGGCAGAAACATTCGAGATACCGAAATCGGGAGGTAACGTTATATGGGGGCTATACCAATTAGAGGACCTGAATCGAACATTTTTTGCATGGAGAAAAAAGACCTACCGAGAACCCTAATTGTCAAGTTTCATCTCATTTGGTTGGAAATTATGGCAAAAACCCTCAAAATACCGAAAATCGGGAGGTACTGTAAAATGGGGGCTATACCAATAAGTGTACCAGAATCCAACATTTTTTGCAAGGAGAGAACAGACCTACCGAGAACCCTAAATGTTAAGTTTCAGCTAATTTGGCTGGAAATTGTGGCAAAACCCCTCAAAATACCGAAAATCGGGAGGTACCGTATAACGGTGGCTATACCAATTAGTGGACCTAAATCGAACATCTTTCACAAGGAGAGAACATACCTATCGAGAGCCCCACTTGTCAAGTTTCAGCTAATTTGGTGGGGAAATTGTGGCAGAAACCCTTAAAAATACTGAAAATCGGAGGCACCGTTTAATGGGAGCTATGACAATTAGTGGACCGGAATCTAACATATTTCGAATGGAGAGAACAGACCTACCAAGAACCTTAAATATCAAGTTTTTGCTTATTTGGTTGGAAATTGTGATAGAAACCTTCAAAATGCCAAAAATCAGAAGGTACTTTTTAATGGAGATTATACCAATTAGTGGACCTGTAATGAATATTTTTTGCAAGCAGAGAACAGACCTTTCAAGAATCCCAATTGTCAAGTTTCATCTAATTTGGTTCATAAAGGGAGCTATACCAATTAGTAGACCCATGGTGAATATTTTTTGCAAGAAGAGAACAAATCATTCAGAATCCCCAATTGCCAAGTTTTAGCTAATTTGGTTGAAAATTGTGGCAGAAACATTTAAGATACCGAAAAATCGGGAGGTACAGGTGTATATATATGGGCGCTATATCTAAACGTGGACCAAAATATGGTCCATTTTCAATACCAATCAGACGGCATATAATATAAAGCTTTGTATCAAATTTCAAAGCTCTAGATTAAATAATGTAGACTCTATGGAGGTGATTTGGAAGATGAGTTCTATAATTGTACGAAAAGTACTAAATAGTACTAAATTTCGTATTTTGGGTATTGGGTGAAGAGACAGAGCTGGAATATTATAATTTGATATAGAGGACTCTGTTGAAATCAGGAATTGAGATATTTAGGTGATTTTGGGAAATGTGTACTAAAATTTTACTAATAGTACTAAATCGTACTAAGTTTGGTATTTATTTAGGGTTGGAATCCTGAAATTTTATACTGAGGTTTCTACTAAATTTGGTATTGGGTGAAGGGACAGGGCTGGAATATTATAAATTGATATAAAGGTCTCTGTTGATATCAGAAATTGAAATATGTAGGTGACTTTGCAAATGTGTGTTAAAATTGTACGAATAGTACTAAATGGTACTAAATTTGGTATTTGTTGACAGAATAAGGTTGGAATCCTGAAATTTTATATTGAGGGTTCTTTTAGAATATGGAACTGAGATATGGAGATGGGTTTTGAAATGTGTACTATAATTGTACGAAAAGTACTAAATGGTACTACATTTGGTATTGTGTGGAGGTATGGGATTGGAATCTCGAAATTTTATGTTGAGGTCTCCATTGAGATCTGGAATTGATATATATGTGGTTTCGGAAATGTGTACTATAATTATACGAATGGTACTAAATGGTACTAAATTTAGTACTGGGTGAAGGGATAAAGATACAATTCTGCAATTTGATATTTAGATTTCTGAAGATATCTGAGATTTGGTGGTGGTTTAAAAATGCGTCATATGTTTGTACGAAAAGTACTAAATGGTACTTAATTTGGTATTGGTTGAAGGGAAAAGTCTGGTATCCAGAAATCTTATATTGAGGTATCTACTGGAATCTGGAACTGTGATATGGATGTGTTTTAGAAATACGTCATACATTTGTACGAAAAGTACGAAGTGGAACTTAATATAGTTTTGGGTGTATGAATAGGGCTGGGTTTCTCAACTTTGATATTGAGCCTTCTGTTGAAATCGGGAATTGAGATATGGAGGTGGTTTTTGGAAATGCGCACTATAATTGTACCGTAAGTACTAAATAGCACTAAATGGGGTATTGGGTGAAGTGAAAGGTCTGGAATTCTCAAAATTGATACTGAGCTCTGTGTTGATATTAGTAATTGAGACGGGTGAAATGAAAAAACTGCAACCAACTTCAGACTGCTGTCATTTCTAAGCCACTCAACCGACAGCTGTTAAAATTATTCCAGTGACAGCTCAGTATATTGTTTACAAGCGTACAAAAGCATTTTGTTGAGAATTTTCCAGAAAAAAAGTTATTCGTGATGGAATTCAAGCGGGATAGCACGATTTCTTTATATTTGGCTGGAAAACCACAAGTGGCTATCGTTAGAGCACTCCAGCATTTAAATGAGTCTCGTACTATCGCTCGTTACTGGTAGCGTGGGACGACGCCCGAAGGAAGCGGACGTAAGAAAACAGCAACATCAGCAAAAATGGTTCGAAAAGTAAAGAAGCTACTTGATCGAAACCCGCGTCGCAGTGGCCGAAAAATGGCTCGCGAGCTGAACATGTCGCAATATTCCATTCGGCAAATATTAAAAAAATGAGATCGGGGTAAAGCCTTTGAAATTCCAAAAAGTGCTAGAACTTACACCGCCGCAGCAGAAGGAAAATAGACTCAAAAGAGCTAAAAAGTTGCTTTGCTTGGCCGAAAGTGGTGAACTCCCGAATTTGGTTTTCTCCGCTCCAATGAGAAAATATTCGTTGCCCAGCAGTTTGTAAACAAACCAATTGATCGTGTTTACTAGCCAAAGAGGTCAGCTGAAAATGAGAACCTTCTGTTGGCCACCAGAACTCAAGCGCCGGCCATGGGGATGTTGTGGGATGGTGTGCCATCACAATAAATGCCGAATATTATGGCGAAAATATTCTGGAGGGTGTATTAAAGCCTTGGGCACGCAAACATTTTGGCCGCAGACCTTAGACATTCCAACAGAACTCAGCACCCAAGAATGGTTACAAAATGAGGTTCCTCGCTTCATTTCCAGCGCACAATGGCCACCAAAAATCTCCGGATACCAATCCCTTGGACTATTGTGTCTGGAGGATTTTGGAAAGCAAGGTTAACACTAAAAAATACCAAAGTGTCGATCTCGACCTCAAGCAAGCGCTTCACCGGGAATGGACCAAAATACGCAGAGCAACATTCGACCAGCGTGTGACGACGATTTCATTGGCCGTTTGAAGGCCATAATTCGTGCCAAAGGTGACCAATTCGAACAAATCTAAACTCATTCTAAAATTTGATGCTATTTCCGATATTTTTGGCTTTCATTTAATAAAATTAAAAAAAAAATGTAAAAATTATGGCGTTTGACTTTGTTGTAAGTTTTTTTATCTCACCCTGTATAAGGGCTTTTAAAAGGCATAGCTAGAAAAAAATTTCAATTCAATGCAGTCAATAGCTCTGTAGACTGGTGGTGTTGAAATTTTTTCTAGCTTTGAGAAATATCCCCAATCCTTTTTTATTTAAAATCACACCTCCAGAAGGAGGCTTTCTGCAAGGTCATCAAAATATGTAAAATGTCTAAGGTTGTTTAGGGGTTTAAAAAATTCCAATTGATCCTCATTTGATGTCAGATCTTTAAATAGGATTCCGATATCGTTTAGGAATATAATCCAGAATTCCACATATTTTTTTCTAAATATGAAAACACTGTCGAATGAGGACAAAAAAATATTGATAATGAAATTTTGAGATTGATTTTTTCAGATAAGGTTTTATTTTTCATTTTTTTCGTAGAATACGCGAAACGTATATAAATTTTGCAAATGTCATATGAATCGGAAAACAGAAGCAACAATTATAAATAAATATAAACAACTGTTTCAAAATGCTTCCATTCGCCACTGTGATAAAGACAAAATTCCGAAGAATGGAAATAGTATCAGTGGTCATTTTGACCTGCCTTGTTGTGGCAGCATCAACCACTCCAACAGGACGGGTGCTGGGTGGACAAAATGCCACCGAGGGACAATTTCCCCATCAGGTATCGCTGAGACGTAATGGTACACACAGCTGTGGTGGTTCGATAATAAGTCCTAACTTTGTTCTCACAGCTGCCCATTGTGTTGGGACCATGAATAGTAAGGTTGAATATTATACGTAAGTTCACAACACCCCTGATGAGGAAGGGAGAGTTTTCTATTTTTTTTTTTTTAATTTTTTAGCTATGACCCCGCCGTTTTCACCGTTCGTGCCGGTAGCAATGACCACTTCCAGGGTGGTGTCCTTGTCAATGTGACCGAGATAATTGCCCACGAAGATTATGGTAACTTTTTGAATGATGTTGCCTTGCTGCGTTTGGCCGAGCCATTGATCTACTCGAAGAACATATAACCCATTCCCTTGGCCACCGCAGAGGTACCAGCTGGTTCTCCAGTGATTATTTCCGGTTTTGGACGCCTCCAACATGGTGGTGATATGCCAGAAAAATTACAGTGGAACACCTTGACTGCCCTTTCGGGCAGTGAATGTGAGGAGATGTTTCATTTAGATACGGAGGATGTTATCTGTTTGGCCCATGAGGCCAACAATGGTCTCTGCCATGGTGATTTTGGTGGTCCCGCGGTGTATAATGGTGAATTGGTGGGCATTGCCAGTTTCCTTTTCGGCTTCTGTGGTAATAGTTATCACGATGGTTATGCCAAGGTTTTCTATCATTCTGAGTGGATTCGAAGGCATTCAGATTTGTGAGAATGGGGAATTTGGGGAAATGAGGAAATTTAAATAAAACAAAATAAAAAGCATCAGTCGGTTTTGCCGACAGATCTATACCCTCAATCAATGTTCGATGATTTAAATATACTTTGACCTCTGTTGATGATTATTCAAATTGTAGAACCTCTATGGAGTAGGTTCCGAAGAAAATGGCCAATATTGTCTATTTCGTATCAGACCTAAATAAATATGATATAAATATTATGAAGTGCCAGGTTTGGACCATATCGGCAACTTCCTTCACTTTATATGAGATATGTGATAACTTTTAGGAAATGTTAAAATGTGCGTGAGGTACCAGATATAGTCGACAGAAGTATTCCATTTTCATACTTCATCTAATGATAAAAATATTGGTATGGGCAAAATTATAAGAAAATCGATAATTTTTATCCGAATTTTATGCGAAATCATAAATTCCATATTCATCCCAGGTTTCTGGCTGAGAGAAATATTTGGGCATACCAAGTCCTAAAGAATCGCAGACTAGTTTCCCAAGTTTTGACAGATAAAGGTATTGAAAATTGTGAACCTTTGTGGGTGAGGTACCAGAAGGGGTTCGCAGATATACATCTCTTCACAACAGATATTGCGTTAACAAAATGGACCGATATATCCCATCTTCACAGCTGAACTTGTGTTAGTAAAAGTAATGGGATGGTGTGTAATTTGAAGAAAACCGGATATTTATTTCGGAAATTATGATCGTTTTGGTCATTCAAAACATTGACCCTTTATGGGGGAGGTACCAGAAGGAATGGTCCGATCTCTACCATATTTACAATAGATCTTATGTTGACGGAAATATTGAAATGTACCAAGTCTGAATGGAATCGGATGTTAATTTTGCGTTTTATGAGCTCCATGGACATTCAAAATTTTGAGCCTTTGTGGGGGAGGAACCAGAAGTAGTGGACCGATATATTCCATCTTCACAGCAGATCTAGTGGAAATAATGGGATGTGTAAAATATGAAGGGAACCGGATGCCTTTTTCGGATTTCATGGTCGTTTTGGTTATTTAAAATGTCGACCCTTTGTAGGGGAGGTACCAGAAGGAATGGTCCGATCTCTTCCATCTTTAGTTAGATCTTGCGTTAATAGAAATATTGAAATGTGCCACGTCTAAATGGAATCGGCTGTTAATTTTGCGTTTTATGAGCTTCATGGATATTCAAAATTTCGACCATTTGTGGGGGGAGGTACCAGAAGGAGTGGACCGATATATTTCATCTTCATAGCAGATCTTGTGTAAGCAAAAATAATGAGATCTGTAAAATATGAAGAGAACCGGATGCCTTTTTCGGATTTCATTATCGTTTTGATTATTTATAATTTCGACCCTTTGTGGGGGAGGTACCAGAAGGAATGGTCCAATCTCTACCATATTAATGACAGATCTTGTGTTGATGAAAATATTAAGACGTGCCAAGTCTGAATGAAATTGGATGTTAATTTCGTGTTGTATGAGCCTCTTGGATATTAAAAATGTTGACCCTCTGTGGGCGAGACACCAGATGGAATCGACCGATATATCCCATCTTCACATCAGACCTTCGGTTTATAAAAACACTGCGATATATGTAATTTGAAGAAAACCGGATGCTTATTTCGGATTTTATAATCGTTTTGTTTTTTCAAAGCTTTGACCCTTTGTGGGGGAGGTACCAGAGGGAATGGTCCGACGTCCACCATATTTATAAAATATCTTGTGCTGACGGAAATATTGCAATGTGTCAAGTCTGGATGGAATCGATTCGTGTTTTATGAGCTTCACGAATATTCAAAATTTTGACCCTTTGTGGGGGAGGTATCAAAAGGAGTGGATGATATATTCCATCTTCACACCAGTCCTTAGATTAATAAAAATATTGTGGCCTGTGTAAATTGGAGACAATCGGACTCCTACAACACATTTCATAAGAGTTATAATTATTCAAAATTTTGACCCATTTGTGGGGGAGGTTCTTGATGGAGTGGGCCGATATTGTCTATTTTCGCACCTCACTTAGAACTAATGCAAATATTTGGATTTGAAAAGTTGGAGCTAAATCGGATTATCCTTCCTCTATAAGTGCAGTAAAATATTTTCTTTGAACATTTCGGGAGGTACCAGAAAGAGTGGACAGATATTGCCCATCTCCGAACTCAATCTAGGTTTGATAATAACATTACGATGTAAGAAGTTTGGACCAAATCGGATGCTCTTCGAGAGTTATCCTGCGCATCTGCCAGCCAGATAGACAGACGGATGGACATCGCTAGACCGACTCCAAATGTCCTGAAATGGATTTGGTCCAAATAGACCTAGGGTCTAAAATCGTTATTTTGATAAGGTACGTATAGGCCGTGTCAAATGATGTATACACTCCTCTGTAGCCATATGGCTAAAGGTAAAAAAGGTAAAATTTTCCAAGTGTTTATTTAAGATGTTGTTCTGGAGCTATATCCAAATCTGAAACGATTTCAACATAACTTGACAAATAAATTCTTAGACTGAATTCCATTACACATTCCGAATTTCATTGAAATTGGAGACACATGGCGTGTTTGGTGTATCAAATACCTGAAATCGGCCAAACAATTATATAGGAGCTATATCCAAATCTGAAACGATTTCGGTAAAACTTGGCAAATATATTTTTGTACTTAATTCCGTAACACATTCCAAATTTCATTAAAATCGGAGATATATGGCGTGTTTGGTGCATCAAATACCTGAAATCGGCCGAAACTATATATGGGAGCCAATCCCCAATCTGAACCGATTTCAATAATAATTGACAAATAAATGTTAAGACCAAATTTCAACATACATTCCAAATTTCATGGATTTACCTGAAATATTCCTGTATATAGGTACCTTTGAAAAGTCTTCTCTGTACAGAGGACTTTTCAGAGATCTTTTTGGAAAACTTTTCCAGATACCTCGTTTGGAAGAGAGGACATTTTAAAAGTCTTCTCTGTATACAGAAGATTTCTTCAATTAATAGAGGACCTTTCCAACGGCATTTATTAGAGGTATCCTCTTTTTTTGGAGCGTATAGCCTTAAATCATCATTCTAAACATTGCCACCCTTTTGCCACATATAATTGCTCTATGTATCCAGCCATTGTGTTGGAAAGGAGGTACTCTTTTGGAATAGAGGATTTTTTAGGGTCTCCCCTATATATAAGAGGTCTTTAATTAATGGAAAACTGTAATCTCATTCCTTTTTTTTAACTTATTGCCCGAAATCATGATTCCAAACCTTGCCACCCTTTTGCCACACATAATTGCTGGATACATACCAACAGCCGCAATTAAACACTTAACTCTATCGTTAACTTATTGAGCGAAAAAAGATTAGCTTATCAAGCAGAAGTGACGAGGTGATTAACAAACATATGGCGGAATGCGTTTTTCAGTTAATTAGTGGAACGCTTCCAAAATGGTTGGCCTAAAACTTTGTTGGCTCATGGCCATATTTTTTGCAATTGGCCTTGTGAATGGCAAAGAAGAAAATCGTCTTGTGGGTGGTAATACGGCTACTGAACGCCAATTTCCCTATGCCGTATCCTTAAGACGTAATGGCGTTCACACCTGTGGTGGTGTGATAATTTCGAGGAATTACATTCTGACGGCGGCGCGATGTGTGGTGAAGAATTTCGCCAATAATGGTATTGAGAGGTGAGTTAAGGTCAGGGATGTGATTGACAGAAGTTGCCCTAGCAAAGATGGGAATTTCTACCACAGTAACAAGGTCTTTTGAGATGAAATTTATATTTCAATAACAAGTTGAGGCTGAAAGTAAAATCTCCATTTCTCAGCCCTGGCAGGACAAGCTATTAATAAAAAATATTTTATACCCTCAGCCATACGGCTAGAGGGGAATATATCATTTACGGCCAAACGAGCCTCATCGAAATAATGGTTTTAGACCCTAGGTCTCTTTGGGCCAAATCCGTTTCAGGGCATTTGGAGTCGATCTAGCGATGTCCGTCCGTTCATCCGTCTGTCAGGCTTGCTGGTGCCCTCGACAACTCTCGAAATCTCATAATATTATTATGAAACTTATATCGAGTTCGGAGATGGGCAATATCGATCCACTCCTTCTGGTACCTCCCCCACAATGGGTCAAAATTGTGAATATCTATGAAGCTCATAAAACGCGAAATTAACAACAGATACCATTCAGGCTTGGAACATCTCAATATTTCTACCAACACAAGATCTGTTATAAATATGATAGAGATCGGACCATTCCTTCTGGTATCTCCCACACAAAGGGTGAAAGTTTTAAATAACTACAACGAGAATTTTATTCGGAATTAGCATCCGGCTCTCTGCAGATTCTACACATCCCATTATTTCTGCTAACATAAGATCTGCTGTGAAGATGGAATATATAGGTCCACTCCTTCTGGTACCTCCCCCACAACGGGTCAAAATTTCAAATATCCATGATGCTAATAAAACGCGGAAATAACGTCCGATTCCATGCAGACGTGGTACATCTCAATATTTCCATTAACACAAAATCTGTTGTAAGGATGGTAGAGATCGGACCATTCCTTCTGGTATCTCCCCCACAAAGGGTCAAAATTTTGAATAACCAAAAAGGTTATAAAATTCGAAATAGGCATCCGGTTCTCTTCATATTTCACACATCCTATTGTTTCTACTTATATGAGATCTGATGTGAAGATGGATTATATCGGTCCACTCTTTCGAGTACCTCCCCCACAACGGGTCAAAATTAAAATATCCATGAAGCTCATAAAACGCGAAACTAACATCCGATTCCATTCAGAATTGTAACATTTCAATATTACTATCAACACTAGATCTTTCTTAAAGATGGAAGAGATCGGATCATTCCTCCTGGTACTCCTCCCACAAAGGGTCAAAGTTTTGAATAACCAAAACGATCATAAAATCCGAAATAAGCATCCAGTTCTTTTCATATTTCACACATCCAATTATTTCTACTAACTCAGAATCTGCTGGGAAGATGGGATATACCGAATTACTCCTTCTGGTATCTCTCCCACATAAGGGTCAAAATTTGACGGCACATATCTGTCGGCAAAATCGACTGTTACTTTTTCATTTGTTTTTTTATAAAAAAATACATTTTCTCTAAGGACTTTTTTCCTCTTCTTTTAGCTACTCCCCCTCCGAATATAAGATACGTGCCGGTTCCCTCAGCCTCTACGATCAGGGTATATTAGCTGGAATATCCGAGATCAAGGTCCACAGCAATTATACCAACATGCTGAATGATGTGGCATTACTGAAACTTGAAGAACCCCTCATCTTCTCAGATTACATCAAGCCCATATCACTACCTTACGAAAGACCCTCTTTAAAAAAACAAATCTCGGTACCCGGTTGGGGTCTACACAAAACCTCCGGAGATGTTTCACGTTATCTGAAATATTTGTCCATGGAAGTTGTTGATAACAAGGAATGCCTTTCCTATCTCTATGGAGAGGATGCGGATGCAAGACTGCTGTGTCTTCAGTTCGGGCTTGGTGGAGGAATTTGTAGCGGAGATATTGGTGGTCCTGCTGTCTATGACGGGGAGCTGGTGGGTTTGGCTTCCTTTAGCATTGAACGTTGCGGCAGTGAATACCCGGATGGTTTTACAAATATTGCTTTCTTCGTGCGATGGATTCGGGAGAATACGGATTTAAAGTAATTATGGAAGTTACGACATAGCCTTGAAGATTTTATGTAATTAGTGACTCAATACCAAAATTTTATCGTAATATTTAAATTTGTATTTTCAAATAAACAAACAATAACAATGAGGTCATATTTTGTTTTCAAGAAAAACGAATGGTAACGAATCTTTGAAGGGCGCTACCATTGGAAATTGTTAGTAGAAGTGGAAGTTGAGAGACAGAATGTGAAGGACTTCTGTCAAGGAAGGCAGCAAGATCTTTCACTAATTTTCATTAAATGGTTTCTTCTGATTCTGACCACTTAAATTCTGCGCAGGAGGAAATAAATGAAGATAATTTTTTTGGTCTTCTGGCAGGCAGTGCCTCTAAAGGATAAGAAATAGTCTTTCTAAGTGGAAGTCAAGGGAAGGATAGCAGACCAAAGGGCCCTCTTTCTTCCGAGGAAATCCAGAAGAAAAACAGTACATATTCCTCCGACGAAGAACAAAAGACTTCTGAAGTAGAAAGAAGGAAAAGGTCTTTAACTTTCATAGAAGAACGGAAAATCTCTTCAGGAAAATAAACCTTATAGCCAAAATCGATTTCTACAGAACTCCAGCAGGAGTTGTTTAGCCACAAAAAAGGTAGTCTTTAGACAAAAAAATGGGACTTTCTTCCAGAAAGACCCGAAAAATGTCCTCTTCAGTTGAAGATTGGAAGAAACTTCTTTTATAGGCAGCCAGGTCTTCCTCTATAGAATGCCAAAAGGTCTTACTCTACAGAAGACTTAAGAGACATCCTTTTAAGAAACCTGGATATCTGCCTATGTAGAGGACCGGATAATCTGGTCGTCTGTGGAGGATACAGAAGAGCAGCAGTAGCCAATTAGGGGCTGGTCTTCTATAGAATAAGTCTTCTGGTCTTCTATAGAAGAGCAGCATTAGCGCCAGTTGGGCACTGGTCTGGTGCAGCAGTAGCCCCAGTTGGGCACTGGTCTGGTCTTCTATAGAAGAGCAGCAGCAGTAGCCCCAGTTGGGCACTGGTCTGGTCTTCTATAGAAGAGCAGCAGCAGTAGCCCCAGTTGGGCACTGGTCTGGTCTTCTATAGAAGAGCAGCAGCAGTAGCCCCCGTTGGGCACTGTGGTCTCTTCTATAGAAGAGCAGCAGCAGCAGTAGCCCCAGTTTGGGCACTGTGGTCTCTTCTATAGAAGAGCAGCAGCAGCAGTAGCCCCAGTTTGGGCACTGTGGTCTCTTCTATAGAAGAGCAGCAGCAGTAGCCCCAGTTGGGGCCCCTGGTCTCTTCTATAGAAGAGCAGCAGCAGTAGCCCCAGTTGGGGCCCCTGGTCTCTTCTATAGAAGAGCAGCAGCAGTAGCCCCAGTTGGGGCCCCTGGTCTCTTCTATAGAAGAGCAGCAGCAGTAGCCCCAGTTTGGCCAGTGGTCCCTTCTATAGAAGAGCAGCAGTAGCCCCAGTTTGGCACTGGTCTCTTCTATAGAAGAGCAGCAGTAGCCCCAATTTGGCACTGGTCTCTTCTATAGAAGAGCAGCAGTAGCCCCAGTTTGGCACTGGTCTCTTCTATGGAAGAGCAGCAGCAGTAGCCCCAGTTTGGCACTGGTCTCTTCTATAGAAGAGCAGCAGCAGTAGCCCCAATTGGGGCCACTGGTCTCTTCTATCGAAGAGCAGCAGCAGTAGCCCCAAAGAGAGCAGTAGCCCCAATTGGGGCCACTGGTCTCTTCTATCGAAGAGCAGCAGCAGTAGCTCCAATTGGGGCCACTGGTCTCTTCAATCGAAGAGCAGCAGCAGTAGCCCTGGTCGCGGGTCTCTTCTATAGGGGCTGATCTTCTATAGAAGAGCAGCAGTAGTCATTTAAAAAAAACCCCAAAAATTGCTTGTGTTTTATGGGATCTCATATTTTATCTTGCGTTACAAGCTTTTTGAAAAAGTTTTTTTCCTAATTATCGAAGCTTGGTAGGGTTCTAATTGCAGAATATTCAAGATAATCGATTTTCAATATTTAGCATTTCCAGAAGATCCATAATTACACAAGCATTTCGAATTTTCTCTGTTTTTTAATATAAATAACTTCAATTTTTTCTCATAACTTCAAGGAGTAGAAGAATAGAAAATGTCTAACATGGCTGTAGTATTTCGAAAAACTCTAATTCTTGGCCTGCTGATAGCCTTCGATTGTGCCACAGCTGCTAGGCCCAATCCAATCTTTCCCCAATCACGGATAGTGGGTGGAGCAACTGCCAGTGAGGGGCAGTTTCCGCATCAGGTATCCTTGCGCTGGGGTGGCAGCCATGTGTGTGGTGGTTCCATAATATCGCCCACCTACATTGTGACAGCGGCCCATTGTCTTACCCGAGGATCACCGCCAACAAGGTAATTTATTGACAATCTCTCATTAGTTTCAAAAATTATTATTAATTTCCTCATTTTTTCCCTGAAAGCTTCCCCGCCGACTATATCAGCATACGAGCTGGCAGCCGCAATAGAGATGAGGGTGGCCAGATTATACAGGCAGCCGAATTGAAAATCCATCCTTCATATGATAGATTCAACAACGACATAGCCTTGGTGAAATTATCCAAACGATTGCAATTCAATGACAAAGTAAAGGCCATACCGCTGACGCGCCACGAACCACCGACTGGGGTGCCAGTTTTTACCTCCGGTTGGGGTCTGACCCGCAACAATGGTGGCACATCGAAATATTTACAATACACGGTGTTGATGGCACGTAGGCATGCCGAGTGTGGCCAGTCGACTCCTGAGTCTGTGTTGTGTTTGGCCCACAGTAGCGGTAATGGAGTGTGCAGCGGTGATTCCGGCGGTCCAGCTGTCTACAACAAGGAATTGGTTGGGGTTACCAATTATGTGGTCGATGGTTGTGGCAGTACATTTTCCGATGGTTTCGCCAGTGTGGCTTACCACCACGAGTGGTTGAGCAATAATTCTAGGGACTAAAAATGGAATTTGTTGGACGATAAGGGTCCAGGTCGAAATAAAATGAAAAAAAAAAAATGATCATCTTAACCTGCGATATCTTTGAAGAGTATAGAATTAAGGCTTTTTCTATGGGAGGAGACCTCATGGTCTTCTATGGGAGAAGACCCTATGGCAGAAGACCATATGGTCTTCTATGGGAAGACCTTCTGGTCTTCTACGAGTCGACCTTCTGGCCTTCTATGAGAAGACCTTCTGGTTTTTAATGAGAATAACGTCTTCTATGAGAGAAGACCGTCTGGTCTTTTAATAGAGAAGACCTTCTGCTCTTCTATGAGAAGACCTTTTCCTCTTCTGTGAGAAAACCTTCTGGTCTTCTATGGGAGAAGACCTTCTGGTCTTCTATGGGAGAAGACCTTCTGGTCTTCTATGGGAGAAGACCTTCTGGTCTTCTATGGGAGAAGACCTTCTGGTCTTCTATGGGAGAAGACCTTCTGGTCTTCTATGGGAGAAGACCTTCTGGTCTTCTATGGGAGAAGACCTTCTGGTCTTCTATGGGAGAAGACCTTCTAGTCTTCTATAAAAAAACTTTCTGGTCTTCTGCTTGTCTATGAGACGACCTTCTGGTCTTCTGGTTGTCTATGAGACGACCTTCTGGTCTCCTGGTTGTCTATGAGACGAACTTCTGGTCTTCTACGAGCAGACCTTCTGGTCTTCAATGAGAAGATCTTCTGGTCATCTATGGGAGAAGTCCTTCTGGTCTTCTATGAGAGAAGACCTTCTAGTCTTCTTCTATGAGAAGACCTTCTGGTCTTCTTCTATGAGAAGACCTTCTGGTCTTCTTCTATGAGAAGACCTTCTGGTCTTCTTCTATGAGAAGACCTTCTGGTCTCCTTCTATGAGAAGACCTTCTGGTCTTCTTCTATGAGAAGACCTTCTGGTCTTCTTCTATGAGAAGACCTTCTGGTCTTCTTCTATGTGAAGACCTTCTTGTCTTCTATGGGAGAAGACCTTCTGGTCTTTTATGGGAGAAGATCTTTTGGTCTTCCATGAGAAGACTTTCTGGTCTTCTATGAGAAGACCTTCTGGTCTTCTTCTATAAGAAGACCTTCTGGTCTTCTTCTATGAGAAGACCTTCTGGTCTTTTTCTATGAGAAGACCTTCTGGTCTTCTTCTTCTATGAGAAGACCTTCTGGTCGTCTATGAGAAGACCTTCTGGTCTTCTTCTATGAGAAGACCTTCTGGTCTTCTTCTATGAGAAGACCTTCTGGTCTTCTTCTATGAGAAGACCTTCTGGTCTTCTTCTATGAGAAGACCTTCTGGTCTTCTATGAGAGAAGACCTTCTGGTCTTCTATGAGAAGACCTTCTGGTCTTCTATGAGAAGACCCTATGGTCATCTATAAGAAGACGTTCCAGTCTTCTGTAATAAGAGCTTCTGGCCTTCTATGAGCAGACCTTCAGGACTTCTGTGAGAAGATATTGTGGTCTTCTATAAGAAGACCTTCTGGTCTTCTATAAGAAGACCAATTCTCATAAAAACTAAAACATCCCATTCGGAAAATTCCTTTATTTTAAATTGTTATTTTTACCAAAAAGGCGACATTTCAAATTTTCATCCCTGAGTGTTCTCCCGCACCCATTCCGCATGGTATGCCGCACTAGTATAGGTGTCAGGATTTGCCGAGCCACAATTTCTAACCACTGAATTGGCGATGCCAACCAACTGATCTTGGTACACAGCTGGGCCACCAGAATCACCCCGGCATGCTCCATGTCCAAGGCTATGTTCGAAACAAATAATCGAGTCGGGAATTGCTACCAGGCGGCGTCTACAATCGCTGCTAGTCAGAGCCGTCAGGGTGGTGTACTGCAACTGGTTGACCACGGTCCCATTGTTGCTGGTACGACCCCAGCCGGATATGACAACGGGTGCTCCCGTCGGTGGATCCTCAGATGCCAAGGGTATGGCCCTTACATTTTCATTGAATTCCAAAGGTTTTGATAATTTCACCACGCCAATATCATTGCCAAAGGGATTATAGTCGGGATGAATGTAGGTCCATTCTGCTTGCCGCAATTGGCCACCTTTGTTAGCCAGTCGGCTGCCAGCACGTATGCTGATATAGGAGGGTGGGAGGCTTTGGAGAAGCGGAAAGAAAAAATGCAAATTATCACATATTTTCATTTGAGATTATTTAAGGCTTACGTCATATATCCCCGGGCCAGACAATGGGCGGCCGTCACAATGTAGGATGGTGAAATTATCGAACCACCACAAACATGGGCTCCACCCCAATGCAAGGAGATCTGATAGGGAAACTGCCTTTCATTGGCATTGGCCCCTCCAAGTATTCTAGGTTGAGGATATACTGGCGGTAAATCGTCATCTGCCTGGGCGCAATGCAGCAGAGCAATTAAACCAATCGAGAACAATAACTTGCAACCAATTGCCTTCGACATTGAAAAGCTAGAGAAGCTAATGATGGGCTAGAGAAATCACTGAACAAGCTCATCCAAATGGGCTCTTTATATAGGAGTGCAAATCTGAAAATCTGATTGAAATTTAATTACCAAGAAATGTGCGCAGCAGACGATGTAGATATCAGATTATCGCAACATTGTTTTCAAATCGTCTGGCCAAGTTATACTTACATTGTTGGGAAAACAAATAATCTTCTAATAGAAAAGCGAAGAGTTTCTTATAGAAGACAAGAAGGTCTCCTTATAGACGACCAGAGGGTATTCTTTATGGAAGGCCATATGGTATTATTATCGAGCCCAGAGGGTCATCTTATATTAGACCGGTGGGTCTTATTAACGAAGACCAGTGGGTCTCCTTATTGAAGACAAGAGGGTGTGTTTATAGAAGACCAGAGGGTCTTTTTATATAAGGTTACAGGGTCTGCTTATAGAAGATCAGAGAGTGTTCTAATAGAAGGCAAGAGGGCTTCTTATATAAGACCAGAGGGTCTTCATATGGAAGGCCGGAGGGTCTTCTTATAGAAGAGCAGCAGGTCTTCTCATAAAAGAGCAGCAGGTCTTCTCATAGAAGGACATATCTTATAGAAGGCCCGATGGTCTTTTTATAGAAGGTCAGATGGTCTTCTTATAGAAGGCCAGATGGTCTTCTTATAGAAGGCCAGATGGTCTTCTTATAGAAGGCCAGATGGTCTTCTTATAGAAGGCCAGATGGTCTTCTTATAGAAGAGCAACAGGTCTTCTTATAGAAGAGCAGCAGGTCTTCTTATAGAAGAGCAGCAGGTCTTCTTATAGAAGAGCAGCCGGTCTTCTCATAGAAGAGCAGCCGGTCTTCTCATAGAAGAGCAGCCGGTCTTCTCATAGAAGAGCAGCCGGTCTTCTCATAGAAGAGCAGCCGGTCTTCTCATAGAAGAGCAGCCGGTCTCCTCATAGAAGAGCAGCCGGTCTTCTCATAGAAGAGCAGCCGGTCTTCTCATAGAAGAGCAGCCGGTCTTCTCATAGAAGAGCAGCAGGTCTTCTCATAGTAGAGCAGCCGGTCTTCTCATAGAAGAGCAGACGGTCTTCTCATAGAAGAGCAGCCGGTCTTCTTATAGAAGAGCAGCAGGTCTTCTCATAGAAGAGCAGCAGGTCTTCTCATAGAAGAGCAGCAGGTCTTCTCATAGAAGAGCAGCAGGTCTTCTCATAGAAGAGCAGCAGGTCTTCTCATAGAAGAGCAGCAGGTCTTCTCATAGAAGACCGGAAGGCCTTCTCATAGAAGACCGGAAGGTTTTCTCATAGAAGAGTGGAATGTTTCACATAGAAGAGTGAAATGTTTTCACATAGAAAACCGGAAGGTTTTCTCACAGAAGACTGGAAGATCTTCTCACAGAAGACTGGAAGGTCTTCTCACAGAAGACTGGAAGGTCTTCTCACAGTCTTCTCATAGAAGACTGGAAGGTCTTCTCATAAAAGACTGGAAGGTCTTCTTATAGAAGACCGGAAGGCCTACTTATAGAAGACCTGCAGGTCTTCTTATTAAAATTATTTTAATTATTCCGTTCTACCAATACACCCTAATATCCAGACGATAGCCTTTAAATTGCTGTGAAAACAAACTCAAGATGTGAGCAGCGCGTGTGTGGAACAGCCCAGATTTCAGACTAATTTTACTGACGGAACTATCTACATTTGGAGTGGGTAAGCACTCAAATATAATTAACGTCAGGAAAACTTATTTCTATCATTCTTATATTCATTATCGTTTGAGATGTCTGGCAAACTGGGTCTAGGGAAACGCTTGTTACTCGCCATAATAGTTCTTTGGAATTACTGTGAAGCGGAAAATATCCGGCCATTTTATCCCCAGGGACGTATAGTTGGCGGTATTGCGGCAAGTGAGGGCCAATTTCCCTATCAGGTGTCGCTGCGTTGGGGTGGAGCCCATGTTTGCGGTGGAAGCATAGTGTCCGCCAGCTACATTGTGACAGCGGCACATTGTCTTACCCTGGGAACTGCGGAACAAAAGTATGTGGACAATTCTTTACATGAGTCGTAATAAAATGTCTTTTTTTCTTTTCTTTTTCAGACTCCCAGCCTCTTTGATTAGCATACGTGCTGGCAGTAGATTCTATGATCGCGGTGGCCAAGTGGTGCAGGCTGTGGAGACCACAGTACATCCGGATTACAAAGATTTTGACAATGACATAGGTTTGGTAAAATTGTCACTGCCTTTGGAATTTAACGCAGGAGTCAAGGCCATACCGTTGGCCTCTCATGAACCACCTACGGGTGTACCAGTGGTAACTTCCGGTTGGGGTCGTACCACTAACAATGGTACGGTTGTCAAGTTGCTTCGCTATAATAGCCTAACGGCATTGACCAGCCTTGATTGTAGTCGCCGTTTACCAGCAATACCGGAATCCGTTATATGTTTAGCTCACAGCGCGGGAAATGGGGTGTGCAATGGCGATTCTGGTGGCCCAGCTGTCTACAATAATCAATTGGTCGGTGTTACCAATTATATGGTTCGGACATGTGGTTCTACGAAACCAGATGCCTATGCAAGTGTGGCCTACTTTGCAGAATGGATAAGGGAGAATTCAAGGGAATAGATTTTGAAATGGAATAACCGAAAAAATGTTCTACAGATTTTTAAAATAAAGGATAGCCCCACTATGGGCTTTGAATAAAATATGTGCATATACAGGGTGAGATAAAAAATTTTTTGAATTGGTATGGCACACATTAAACGGTACCTCCCGGTTTTCGGTATTTTGAATGTTTCTGGGACAATTTTCAACCAAAGCAGCTGAAACTTTAGTTTTGGGGTTCTTGTTAGGTATATTCTCTTATGGCAAAAAATATTCGCTACATGTTCACTTATTGGTATAACCCCCATATAACGTTACCTCCCGATTTTCGGTATTTTGAAGATTTCTGCTACAATTTCCCATCGAATTAGATGAAACATGACATTTGGGGTTCTCGGTGGGTCCCATTAAACGCCCATTAAACGGTACCTCCCGATTTTCGACATTTTAAAAGTTTCTGATACAACTTCCAGCCAAATCAGCTGAAACTTGTCATTTGAGGTTCTTGAAAGGTCTGCTCTCTTCTTGGAAAATTTTTTTGATTCAGGTCCACTATTTATTGACAGTTTCTGCCACAATGTCAATGTTTGATTCAGGTCCACTAATTGTTATACCCCTAATATAACGGTATCTCCCGAGTTACGGTATTTTGACGGTTTCTGTCACAATTTCCAATCAAAGCAGCTGAAACTTTGCTTTTGGTGTTCTTTATAGGTCTGCTCTCTTCTTGCAAAAAATATTCGATTCAGGTCAACTAAAAAAACTCACTCCGAATTTCAGATTTTCAGCTCTAGTCCTTCCCCAAATATCAAAGCTAACAATTTTTAGTACGTATTTTCAAACCCCCACCGAGTATCAATCAAACCGAACAAAAGGTGATTCTAATGCAAAGTTTAGACTTGTAACTTGTCAATCTCCTACCCAAATACGAAATTTAGTACCATTTGATACTTTTTAGATTAAAAAGAGGGAAAACAGATTAGTAAATTAGAAAAATCGGACTTAACTCTAGTTTAGTAAAAACTTTCGGTTTTTTTTAAACTGTTTTCAGGGGTAGGTATTTGTACCCTGATCTTCTATGGTCCCTTAGAAGAGCTTATGGTCTTCTATGCTCCCTTAGAAGAGCTTATGGTCTTCATTGGCCCGTTTGAAGAGCTTATGGTTTTCTATGGCCCCTTAGAAGAGCTTAGGTTTTTATGGTCCCTTAGAAGAGCTTATGGTCTTCTATGGCCCGTAAGAAGAGCTTATGGTCTTCTATGGTCCATTAGAAGACCTTATGGTCTTCTATGGTCCCTTAGAAGAGCTTATAGTCTCTGATGGCCCGTAAGAAGAGCTTTTGGCCCGTTAGAAGAGCTTATGGTCTTCTATGGTCTTTAGAAGAGCTTATGGTCTTCTATGGTCCCTTAGAAGAGCTTATGGTCTTCTATGGTCCCTTAGAAGAGCTTATGGTCTTCAATGGCCCCTTAGAAGAGCTCATGGTTTTCTATGGCCCCTTAGAAGAGCTTATGGTCTTTTAAGGACCCTTAGAAGAGCTTATGGTCTTCGTATGATCTTCTATGGCCCCTTAGAAAACCTTATGGTCTTCTATGGTGCCTTAGAAGAGCTTATGGGTTTCTATGGCCCCTTAGAAGAGCTTATGGTCTTCTATGGCCCCTTAGAAGAGCTTATGGTCTTCGTATGATCTTCTATGGTCCCTTATAAGAGCTTATGGTCTTCTATGGTCATTTAGAAGAGCTTATGGTCTTCTATGGTCCCTTAGAAGAGCTTATGGTCTTCTGTGGCCCCTTTGAAGAGCATATGGTCTTCTATGGCCGCACAGAAGAGCTTATGGTCTTATATGGTCCCTTAGAAGATCTTATGGTCTTTTATGGCCCGTTAGAAGAGCTTATGGTCTTCTATGGCCCGTTAGAAGAGCTTTTGGTCTTCTATGGTCCCTTAGAAGAGCTTAGGTCTTCTATGGCTCCTTAGAAGAGCTTATCGTCTTCTATGGTCCCTTAGAAGATCTTATGGTGTTCTATGGCCCCTTAGAAGAGCTTATGGTCTTCTATGGCCCGTCAGAAGAGCTTATGGTCTTCTATGGCCCTTAGAAGAGCTTATGGTGTTCTATGGCCCCTTAGAAGAGCTTATGATCTTCTATGGTCCCTTAGAAGAGCTTATGGTCTTTTATGGCCCGTTAGAAGAGCTTATGGTCTTCTATGGCTCCTTAGAAGAGCTTATCGTCTTCTTGGTCCCTTAGAAGATCTTATGGTGTTCTATGGCCCCTTAGAAGAGCTTATGGTCTTCTATGGCCCGTTAGAAGAGCTTATGGTCTTCTATGGCCCCTTAGAAGAGCTTATGGTGTTCTATGGCCCCTTAGAAGAGCTTATGATCTTCTATGGTCCCTTAGAAGAGCTTATGGTCTTTTATGGCCCGTTAGAAGAGCTTATGGTCTTCTTCTATGGTCCCTTAGATGAGCTTATGATCTTCTATGGCCCCTTAGAAGAGCTTATGGTCTTCTATGGTCCCTTAGAAGAGTTTATGGTCTTGTATGACCCCTTATAATTACGATTTTAATTTGTTTTCATATTTTTTTTTTTTTCAAAAAAAGAAAAAAAATCATTCTCCATCCATCCCCAATATCTTGAACCGGGAAATATATTTCTCCTCAAAATTTTTTTTATCAGTAATTGATACTTTGTAATTTTGAAGTTAATTACTTTTCGAATTCGCAAAAAAAAAATATTGCGTAATTAGAGATAAAGCAAAGTTAAGTCATCAAGGCCCCCTCATTTTTCTCAAATATAAAAGCCCTGACAAGCTTCTGAAAAAATTACCATCATTTGTTTGGTGATCAGGAAGGAGTTCAAAAAGCCAGCAAAAACGCGAAATGTTTATCGGTTATCTAGCCAAAAGGCAAATGTTGCTACTGCTACCAGTTCTACTGCTCTGTGCAGTTAAGGGGGCAAGTATCTCGGTAAAGAAATACTTCCCGCAGTCCCGCATTGTGGGTGGTGCCACAGCCAGTGTGGGTCAATTTCCTCATCAGGTTTCGTTGAAGTTTCTCAACAGCCACAACTGTGGCGGGTCCATAATCTCATCGACCTACATTGTGACAGCGGCCCATTGTATTGCCCTGGGCAAGCCACCTGTAGAGTAAGGGAGACAAATTCTCAAAAGAAACAATAAAATAATCAACATAATTTTCTTCTCCTCTTTACAGGATCCCTCCCCAATATCTAACTGTTCGGGCCGGCAGCCGTCACGTAGACCGTGGTGGCCAACTGGTACGCGTGGCCGAGGTAAAAATGCATCCCCTGTATGATGGCAGCGATAATGACATTGCAGTTTTGAGATTGGCCCAACCCTTGCGTTTTAATAGCCAAGTCAAAGCCATAGCATTGGCCAAAAGAGATCCTCCCACAGGGGTTCCCATTCTAACATCGGGTTGGGGTTTGACCAGGAACGGTGGCAACACCACCACCTATTTGCAGTACACCACCTTGATGGCGGTGAAAAATGAAGATTGTAATCGTTTGTCTTACGGAGGGGTACATGAGGCCATTTTGTGTTTGGCCCATAACATCAACAATGGGGTGTGCAAGGGAGACTCCGGCGGACCGGCGGTGTATAAAAATCAATTGGTTGGTGTTACGAATTACATTGTTGGCGGTTGTGGTTCGTATAATCCCGATGGTTTTGCCAGTGTTGCCTACTACCGGGATTGGTTGAGAAATAATACCAATATTGCTTAGGTGGGGTATAACCGAGCGGAATAAAATTATGAATAAAGAAAGCTGAAGAAAACAATATTTTAAAGGAATAACATGAGTTTTTTTTTTGAGGATAGCTAGAAATGAAGAATTACAGAAGGTCATCCAGTCATAAAAAGGCCTTATAGCCATTTAATAATAGCTGAAAGTCCACTATGACCTTTGAGCTCTAGATCTTCTATGACCGCATAGAAGAGCTTGTGGTCTTCTATGGCCCCTTAGAAGAGCTTGTGGTCTTCTATGGTTCTTAGAAGAGCTTGTGGTCTTCTTCTAATGAACTGCTTGGATATGCATCTATATCCTTGCTCTGTCTGGCTCATCGTGGTGGAAATGGAGCCTGTGAAGGTGACTCAGGGGGACCAGCTGTTTATGATGGCAAACTGGTGGGTGTCACCAATGTCGTCTATGAGGCATGTGGTTCCGCGTATCCAGATGGTTATGCAAGGGTCTCATATTATCGATATTGGATTGTTTCGAATGCAGAATTGTAGACATTTTGAATAAATGCCAATGAAATTTTAAGGGGACAAGATTTTGAACTAAACTACTGTTAAGTTTCTATGTAAGATCTCCTCTTTAAATAAGACCTTGAGCTCTACTGGAGCCTAAACGAAAAACTGGAGCCAGAAGAGATCCTTGAGCTCCTCTGGAGCCAGAAGAGGATCCTAGAGTTCTTCTGGAGCCAAAAGGGAACATAGAGTTCTTCTATGCGGCCATAGAAGACCTGTGAGCTCTTCTATGCGGCCATAGAAGACCTGTGAGCTCTACTATGCGGCCATAGAAGACCTGCGAGCTCTTCTATGCGGCCATAGAAGACCTGCGAGCTCTTCTATGCGGCCATAGAAGACATGTGAGCTCTTCTATGCGACCATAAAAGACCTGTTAGCTCTTCTATGCGGCCATAGAAGACCTGTGAGCTCTTCTATACGGCCATAGAAGACCTGTGAGCTCTTCTATGCGGCCATAGAAGACCTGTGAGCTCTTCTATGCGGCCATAGAAGACCTGTGAGCTCTTCTATGCGGCCATAGAAGACCTGTGAGCTCTTCTATGCGGCCATAGAAGACCTGTGAGCTCTTCCATGCGGCCATAGAAGACCTGTGAGCTCTCCTATGCGGCCATAGAAGACCTGTGAGATCTTCTATGCGGCCATAGAAGACCTGTAAGCTCTTCTATGCGGCCATAGAAGACCTGTGAGCTCTTCTATGCGGCCATAGAAGACCTGTGAGCTCTTCTATGCGGCCATAGAAGACCTGTGAGCTCTTCTATGCGGCCATAGAAGACCTGTGAGCTCTTCTATGCGGCCATAGAAGACCTGCGAGCTCTTCTATGCGGCCATAGAAGACATGTGAGCTCTTCTATGCGGCCATAGAAGACATGTGAGCTCTTCTATGCGGCCATAAAAGACCTGTTAGCTCTTCTATGCGGCCATAGAAGACCTGTGAGCTCTTCTATGCGGCCATAGAAGACCTGTGAGCTCTTCTATGCGGCCATAGAAGACCTGTGAGCTCTTCTATGCGGCCATAGAAGACCTGTGAGCTCTTCTATACGGCCATAGAAGACCTGTGAGCTCTTCTATGCGGCCATAGAAGACCTGTGAGCTCATCTATGCGGCCATAGAAGACCTGTGAGCTCTTCTATGCGGCCATAGAAGACCTGTGAGCTCTCCTATGCGGCCATAGAAGACCTGTGAGCTCTTCTATGCGGCCATAGAAGACCTGTAAGCTCTTCTATGCGGCCATAGAAGACCTGTGAGCTCTTCTATGCGGCCATAGAAGACCTGTGAGCTCTTCTATGCGGCCATAGAAGACCTGTGAGCTATCCTATGCGGCCATAGAAGACTTGTGAGCTCTTCTATGCGGCCATAGAAGACCTGTGAGCTCTTCTATGCGGCCATAGAAGACCTCTGAGCTCTTCAATGCGGCCATAGAAGACCTGTGAGCTCTTCTATGCGGCCATAGAAGACCTGTGAGCTCTTCTATGCGGCCATAGAAGACGTGTGAGCTCTTCTATGCGGCCATAGAAGACCTGTGAGCTCTTCTATGCGGCCATAGAAGACTTGTGAGCTCTTCTATGCGGCCATAGAAGACCTGTGAGCTCTTCTAAGCGGCCATAGAAGACCTGTGAGCTCTTCTATGCGGCCATAGAAGATCTGTGAGCTCTTCTATGCGGCCATAGAAGACGTGTGATCTCTTCTATGCGGCCATAGAAGACCTGTGAGCTCTTCTATGCGGCCATAGAAGACCTTTGAGCTCTTCTATACGGCCATAGAGGACCTAGAGCTCTTCTATGCGGGCCATAGAAGACCTAGAGCTCTTCTATGCGGGCCATAGAAGACCCAGAGCTCTTCTATGCGGGCCATAGAAGACCTTGAGCTCTTCTGTGCAGACCTTGAGCTTTTCTATGGGGACCATAGAAGATCTTGAGCTCTTCTATGCGGCCATAAAAGACCTTGAGTTCTTCAATGCGGCCATAGAAGACCTTGAGCTCATCTATGCGGGCCATAGAAGACCTTTGAGCTATTCTATGCGGGCCATAGAAGACCTTTGAGCTCCTCTATGCGGGCCATAGAAGACCTTTGAGCTCCTCTATGCGGGCTATAGAAGACCTTTGAGCTCTTCTATGCGGCCCTTAGAAGACCTTTGAGCTCTTCTATGCGGCCCATAGAAGACCTTTGAGCTCTTCTATGCGGCCCATAGAAGACCTTTGAGCTCTTCTATGCGGCCCATAGAAGACCTTTGAGCTCTTCTATGCGGCCATAGAAGACCTCTGAGCTCTTCTATGCGCGCCATAGAAGACCTTGAGTAATGGTCTTCTGATTGACAAACATAGCCTATCTAGCTGTTAATTAGACCTTGAGGCCATAGAAGACCTTGAGCTCTTCTATGCGGCCATAGAACCCCTTTAGTAATTCTACCTACAAACAATTAGAATGGTCTTCTGCCCGAAAAAAAATAGCCGCTCTAGCTGTTAAAATTTCGAAATTTTCCCACACTCTGCATTGTCTTTGCCTGTTATTAGACTAACCTGCTCCGATGTTTTGATGTTATTTTCTTCACTTTTTTTAAGATTTGCTTGTCATTTCAAAAAAGAATCAACTTCGAGGTTCTTTTTTGTTTTGATATTCTCCCTCGGTAGCATTTCTAATTAATTTATGTAAATTTAATACGAAACGCTTTCTCTGAGGCCATCGATTCAATAACAGCCGCTTGGCTTATAAATATTCTGAATAGAAACGTCACCATGAGACGTGAGTGAAATTGAAAGTAGTTGCAGATGAAACAGAAGAAGAAACAAAAAACGAATCAATGACAGATAAGAATCAAATAAATTTTATATTTTGTTTTGCCGTTGCCTTCAGAGACCTCTTGAGAATCTACAAATCGGAATTGTTCTTTATGAAACTGTAATGATAGGCCACATTGGCATAGCCATCGGGATAACGTGAGCCACAACCACCCACAACGTAATTTGTGACACCGACCAGCTCGTTGTTATAGACAGCAGGGCCACCGGAGTCTCCACCACACACCCCATTACCATTACGGGGGGCAAGGCACAACACCGTACTGGATACTGTCTAGAGGCTACGTCTACAATTTCTAAGGGAGAGGGCTGTCATGGTGGTATACTGCAGCTCACGTGGTGTGGATCCCCCATTACGCAAGAGACCCCAACCCGAAGTTGTGACAGCTACACCATCAGCTGGTGCCCTTTTGGCAATGGAGATGGGCTTGATGTTATCCGTAAACACCAGAGGTTTGGAGAGCTTCAACACGGCAATATCATTGTCCGAGCGACGATATGAGGGATGAACCTTGACCTGGGAGATGCCAACCACCTCGCCGCCACTGTTGTAAAAACGACTGCCAACGCGTACATTTAAACGGGAAGCGGGGTATCTAGTGGAAAATGGAGAGGGCAGATGAGTTTAAAAATATTCCTCCAAAATTTCTTTTAAAAATACTTACGGCCTGGGCACCAAGCCCGAGGTAACACAATGGGCCGCCGTTACCACATAATTTGCCGAAATAATGGAACCGCCACAGGTGAAACTATTGCCAATGTTCAGGGCCACCTGATACGGGAATTGGCCATCTTTGGCTACGGTGCCACCAACTATGCGCGGTTCAGGATACAGGGGAATAAAATCAAATTCTCTTTCTCGGGTAACATTATTTTCCGCCATAACTCCCAGAGCTCCACAACTCAGGAAACCCAAAAGGGTTAGTAAAAAATTATGAACAATTATTCCGCGTTGCATTATGAGAACTAAGTTCTGAACAAATAAATTGCACTGGAAATCGTGTCGAAGCCTTATATAGCCATAACTCTACCTTCCATTGGAATGTTGTGGGATTTGGAAATCTTTATCTGATAATTGTCATTCGGTTTGTTTGTTTGTTCGTTTTTCTCCAAGACGTTGTTGCCTTGCAAAAAAAGGTGTGAAATCATCCGGCAATTAGTCGTTCGTTATAATTTTGAAGGGTGGGGTCATTAATTTCTCGACGATAAGACGTTTTAGAGGAAAATCGGTACTTTTTTGTTGTTTGGTTTTCAATGTTTCGATGAATTTTCATTTCATTTGTTGGATAGAAATTATCGAACCGGTTGTGAATTTTGGGAGGAAAAAAATTATGGAACAAATCTGGTTCGGTAAAAATTCTCGGAATTTTTGGATTTCTTTTTTTTTTTTTGGTTGAATGTATTTGTGCCCTGATTCTGGGAAAGTATTTTCTTCTTGGGGACGGAGGCGGATAACCGGACATTTGACAATGTCCAAGACCCGAGTTTGACCCGAAAAAATATATAGTAACCTAATCATTAGTAACCTAATGAAAATACCTTCCCAACAAGTGGTCAGATGATAGGCTTGACCCGGATTTAAAAACAAGAACCCAAAAACGAAAAAGGCCCCATTTTGGGAGTCCAAAAAATTTATGACAAATTATAGTTGAGGCAAAAATTATGGAACAACTCTAGTTCGGTAAAAATTCTCGGATTTTTAGATTTTTTTTCTCAGAAGTGGGTATTTGTGCCCTGATTCTGGGAAAGTATTTTCTTCTTGGGGACGGATCCGGATGCCCGGATATTTAACAATGTCCCTGACTCGAGTTTGACCCGAAAAAGAAAATATATAGTAACCTAATGGAACTGCCTTCCCAACAAGTGGCCACATGATATGGTTTACCCGGATTTAAAAAACGAACCCAAAAACGAAAAAGACCCCATTTTGGGAGACCAAAAAAATGTATGCCAAATTATAGTTGCCACTGTAACCTTTCCCAAAAAAAAACATTGGTTTACAAGGTCCGGGTCTTAGACCTGGAGATTAGGGTTGACCCGGATTTAAAAAAAAAACCCAAAAAACGAAAAAGGCCCCATTTTGGGAAACCAAAAAAATGAATGCTAAATTATAGTTGCCAAAAAAAAAAAAACATCGGTTTACAAGGTCCGGGCCTTATACCTGGAGATTCGGGTCAAATATCCGGTTAACCGGATTTAAAAAAATCCCCAAAAGCCGAAAAAGGTCCCATTTTGGGAGTCTCCGGGTCTTATACCTTAAGGTTCGGGTCAAATATCCATTTAACCGAATTTTTACCAAAAAAATACCCAAAAGTAGAAAAATTTCCCATTTTGGGAGCCCAAAAAATGTATGCCAAATTATAGTTTAAACTATAACTTTTCCAAAGTATGTATCGGTTTAGATCGGGTCAAATATCCGGTTAACCGGATTTTTACGAAAAAATCCCCAAAAGTAGAAAAAGTTCCCATTTTGGGAGTCCATAAAATGAATGCAAAAAAAAAAAAAAAAAACATTGTTTTAGAAGGTCCGGGACTTAGACCTGGAGAATCGGGTCAAATATCCGGGTGACCGGATTTTTAACAAAAAAATCCCCAAAAGGGGAAAAAGGTCCCAATTTGGGAGTCCAAAAAATGTATGCCAAATTATAGTTTAAACTATAACCTTTCCAAAGTATGTATCTGTTTAGAAGGTTTAATCCGGGTCTTGAACCTGGATTTTCGGGTCAAATATCCAAGTATACAGATTAAACAAAAATTCTCAAAAGGCCCCATTTTGGGAATCAAAAAAAAAAAATAAGAGTGAGTTGAAAAAACTGCAACCAACTTCAGACTGCTGTCATTTCAAAGCCACACGTCCGACAGCTGTTAAAATTATACCCGTGACAGGTCATTATATTGTTTACAAGCGTACAAAAGCATTTTGGAGCACTCCAGGCTCAAGCATTTAAATGTGAATAAATCTTTGTGTCTTGTACCATAGCTCCATGATACTGTTATCGTAGCCCGGCGTCAAGGAAGGGGACGGAAGAAAAGTAAAGAAGCGACATGATCGAAACCCGCCGATCGAAGAAGCGACCCGATCGAAACCCGTCGTAGTGGCCGAAAAATGGCTCGTGAGCTGAACATATCGCAATATTCCATTCGGCAAATATTGAAAAATGAGCTCGGGGCAAAGCCATTGAAATTCCAAAAACTGCAATAACTTACACCGCAACAGAAAGAAAATGGACACAAAAGAGCTAAAGAGTTGCTTCGCTTGGCCGACAGTGGTGAACTGCCGAATTTGGTTTTATCCGCTCCGATGAGAAAACATTCGTTGTCCAGCAGTTTGTAAGCAAACAAAATGATCGTATTTACTTGCCGAGGAGGTCAGATGAAAATGTGCACTTTTGGTTGGCAACCAGGACTCAAGCGCCGGTCATGGTGATGGTGTGGGCCGCCATAACAGCCAATGGTCGCTCTCAGCTCGAATTAACCGACCGTGGCATCAGAATAAATGTCGAATATTATTGCGAAAATATTCTGGAGGGTGTATTAAAGCCTTGGGCACGCAAACATTTTGGCCGCAGACCTTGGAAATTTCAAGAGGATTTAGCATCATCGCGCTCAGCACGCGCCACCCAAGAATGTTCACAAAATGAGGTTCCTCACTTCATTTCCAGTGCACAGCTGGCTACCAAAATCTCCGGATACCAATCCGTTGGTCTATTGTGCCTGAAGTATTTTGGAAAGCAAGGTTGGCACTAAAAAATACCAAGGTGTCGATCACCTCAAGCAAGCGCTTCGCCGGGAACGGTCAAAATACCGCAGAGCAACATTCAGACAGCGTGTGACGGTTTCATTGGTCGTTTGAAGGTCATAATTCGTGTCAAAGGTAACCAATTCGGGCCAAAACACCGCAGAGCAACATTCGGCAGCGTGTGACGGTTCCATTGGCCGTTTGAAGGTCATAATTCGTGTCAAAGGTGACCAATTCGAACAAATTTAAAATTCTTCTAAAATTTCCGACATTTTTTGCTTTCGTTCAATAAAATTAAAAAAAAAAAATTAAAAATTATGGCTTTTGACTTAGTTGCAGTTTTTTATCTCACCCTGTATTAAGATGTGTCAAGTCTGAATGAAATTAGAGTTAATTTCGTGTTTTATGAGGTTCATGAATATTTAAAATTGTGACCCTTTGTAGGGGAGGTAACAGAAGGGGTGGACCTATAAATTCCATCTTCACACCAGACCTTGGGTTAATAAAAATATTGGGATGTGAGAAATTTGAAGAGAACCAAATGCTTATTTCGGATTTTATGATAATTTTGGTTTTTCAAAACTTCGACCATTTGTGGGGGAGGTACTAGAAGGAATGGTCCGATTTCTATCATCTTTATAGCAGATCTTGTGTTGATAGAAATATTGAGATGTACAAAGTCTAAATGAGGACGAATGTTATTTTCGCGTTTTTGTGCTCAATGGATATAGAAAATTTTTACCCTTTGTGGGAAGGCACCAGAAGGAGTTGAGCGATATATTCCATCCTAATACCAGACCTTGGGTTAATAAAAATACTGGGATGTGAGAAATTTGACTATCACATCACATTTTATAAGAGTTGTGATTATTGAAAATTTTGACCCTTTGTGGGGGAGGTACTTGATGGAGTGGACCGATATTGTCCATTTTCGTACCTGACCTAGCACTGATGAAAATCTTTGGATTTGCAAAGATGGAGCAAAATCGGATTATCGCTCCTTTCCAAAAGTTTGCAGAAAAATTTTTTTTTTGAAAATGTCGACCTTTAGTGGCGGATTTACCAGTAGGAGTGGATTGATATATTCTTTCTAAACTCTACACCTTGGGTTAATAAAAATATTGGGATGTGAGAAATTTGACGATGATCGGACTGTTACGTCAGATTTTATAAGAGTTGTAATTATTGAAAATTTTGACTCTTTGTGGGGGAGGTACTTGATGGGGTGGTCCGATATTGTCAATTTTTGCACCTGACCTAGCACTGATGCAAATATTTTGGTTTGCAATGTTGGGGCGAAACCGGGTTATCTCTTTCTGTGCAGAAAATATATTTTTGAAAATTTCGATATTTTGTGGGGGAGGTACCAGAAGGAGTGGACCGATATTACCTATCTCCGAACTCGATCCAAGTTTGACAAAAATATTACGATATACGAAGTTTGGACCAAATCGGATACTCCCTTCGAGAGTTATCGTGCGCACCAGCCAGACAGACGGACGAACATCGCTAGATCGACTCCAAATGTCCTGAAACGGATTTGATCCGAAAAGACCTAGGGTCTAAAGCTGTTATTTCGACTAGGCACCTTTTGACCGTATCAAATGATATATACCCTCTCTAGTCATATGGCTGAGGGGTATAAAAAAAGGACCAAAAAGACCTGCTTTTTTGACTCGCTTGAGAGTTAAAATTTTCTATCAAAATATACCTCGAACTTTTATCTGCAATATTGCTGAAGACACTTAACACCAAAAATCCAAGGATTTCGAAGAATCTTAATTCGAAAATTTCCAAAAGTTTGAAAGAGGGGAGAACTTGTCCCCTCCATTTCGATACCTTGCGATCTAATTTTTTTTTTTTTTTTGGCTCTACCTCCAAAATCTGCTGGGATTCAAATTATTTTTTTTTTCTTTTAAATCCCAAGTTTCCTATTAAGTCTTACAATTAATTAAACGAGGATGGCAACCCTGCCGAGCCATGTTATTAACATGCAACTGAGATAACATTAATTTTCCACCAAATCTGTAATTCTCCACTCTTCAACGAATCAAGTTTCCGATTTTGCAATGTCGTCTACATGCCGTTCTATTTGGAATGGCAGCTAGAGAGACAGACAGAACGGTGCGCAATCCACGACATCTCCTATGTCTCTTGGATAGTGAAAATGACAGGTTTTGATTTCTTGTCGGTATTTTTTCTCCTCCATCTCCGCCTTAACTGTTTTTCCACTTTGTGGTTATTTGAAGAGCCTCG